GATGGCTCACTTAGCGGCTGTGCCAGATTCGATCGATGGTGTGGGTACAGCGGAGCTGTTTATCGATCGGGTGTTTCGCCAACATGGCTTGCCAGTGGCAATTGTTTCTGATCGTGATCCTCGTTTTACGAGTAAATTTTGGAAGTCCGTCTTCCAGGTGCTGGGCACCCGTTTGGACATGTCCACGGCGGATCATCCGCAGACCGATGGTCAAACCGAACGCGTAAATCGCGTTGTTGAAGATATCCTACGCAGCGTTTGTGCTGAAACGCCTAAGCGTTGGAGCTCTATGCTCCCTGTAGTTGAGTTTGCACTCAATAATTCCGTGCACGCCTCCACCGGCTACACTCCGTTCTATGTCAATGGTCTCACACACCCACGCGTTCCGTTAACGCTACCACCGAGTGGTTCAGGGCTTGGTGGGGGAGAGGTTGCCGATCGGCTTGCTGATGTCAGCCCTAATACTGTTAGGAAACAGGTAAATGCGTTTCTCGCAACGCGACTAAATGTCTTACGACATGTGCAAGATGCAATGGCTGATAGTCAAGATAAACAAAAGGAATATGCAGATGCGAAAGGCAGAGGTTGTATTAATGATTATGAGGTCGGAGACCAAGTATTATTAAATGCTAAAAATCTACCTACCAATGTAGTATCCGCTGTCTTTAAGACGAAGTTGCGTCCGCGCTTTATCGGACCCTTTAAGGTCATTGCCAAGAAAGGCACAGCGTATACGCTTAACTTGCCGCGCAAATTGCGTACACATCCTGTGTTCTATGTCGCCATGCTAAAAACTTATCGGGATCCGTCCCAAATAGGCGCTAAGGCGCTCGCGCCGGGCCCATTGGCATTGTCGCGGGACGGAGCATCTGCACCAACAAGTCAAGTTGACCCTGCATTCGGGTCCGACTCTCTTCCAGGGACTCAAGCCGGGAGTTCATCGTCTGCCTCTCCTCAAGAAGGGTCCGCACCTCCTGAACAAGCTCGGCATGAGCTTGTTCCGATACACCGACCTCCTCCTCCTTTGCTCGATGCGCAAGGGAACCTGCAGTTCCATGTGGAGCGTCTACTGCAGAAGCGTCGCCGCCATGGTCAAAACCAGTATCTGGTGAAATGGCGGGGTTATCCCGAATCATGGAATTCATGGGAATTTGAGACTACCCTTCGGCAGGATTGCCCGTACGCCGTGGACGTTTTTGAGCGTCGTGCGCAGGGTCTGTCTGTTGGCGCTGACCCTTCTCACCAGTAAGGGTGAGGGTAGGCGGGTTAGCGGCCTCGGGCTGTCGTGAACTCGCGGCTACAGGGGTAGCCGAAACATTGGGCTGCTGGGCAGCAGGCGCATAATGCGTTCGTTGAGATTTCAATTTCCCCCGGGCCTTCAATTTAGCGTAATCATAACGCATCTTCCGCTCAAGTCGGATATCTGCCACATCGGCGCTTGCCCGTAGGGCCCACATGCTGCTTAAACGTCGCGCATAATGCGCCCAGCGGCTGAAAGCCGTGTCTTCTTCGTCCTCGGTTTCCCCCGCGAACAGAAGGATGGGAACACCCTTCATCGGAGGAACTGGCGCACCGCGACTTGCCTATTAAGGCGTGCCAAGTATTGGCTTTGAGTAGTGATATGGGGCTCCAGATATCGTTGTAGAAGTGCCGTGCGTGTGGCAACATCCTCAGGTGAAATGGCCTCAGGCCCAATGGTCCAACCAGAAAGGGAATGCCCAGATGCTTCCTTTAGACGTTCTTCCACCGTAGGTGGCTTGAACCTGTACTGTCGGTGGTCCTGCAGCCGCGTCATGTTCTTCGTTCGGCGCTTGGCGCCTTCCTCTTGGTCGATGGACCGCTGTTGCTGCTCGTCGAGTGGATTGGTAACCGTTACCGTTGATGATACGTCAGGCGGGTCACGTAACGCTGTTAGCGCATCTACTGCACCACGTTCAGGGAACGGATTCGGTGCATGACGAGTGTCATCTTCACCCGTGAGGGTGGCTAAAGGGGACCCATCGGGTCCCACAAAGACGGTGTTACTTTCGTAATCAACCGCTTCGTCAAGGTCGTCCTCAATGAGGTCCTTAAGAGTCTGTGACTCACTGCCGGGAGGCGTCATGTTGTGTGCCGTGAACAAACCGTGAGGTTTTAAAAGTTCGCTAAAGCACTACCTCTATGAGGAAAGATGTCGAGTGACATTCTATGGGAACGTCATTCTGGTGGGGGAGGGTGTTACGGGGTTACACGACGGTTGTAACGTCTTTCCGAGAGTTTACGCTTAAACTCTCCTTTGTATTGCATATAATGCATTATTATACTTCTCGTTAGAGAGGTATTAAGTATGAGCGTTAAGATACGGTATTCGGTAATACCGTATCTTACCGATTAGGATTCGATAAATCGATAACGCTCCATTAAGTACATCATACACAGATGTTAAGACGATACGTCGTTCAATAGCAAAGTCTGCATATAATAACTACTATTATAGTAATTAATCTAGTGTAGTGTACTTAAAGTAGGACTATTCATAATATCTTAAAGCATAAATAAAATCAGTTCTCCTTTTGAGTTTAAGACCACAAGTCGTTCTGACTTGTTCTCTTGTGCACTTCGTGCGTTGGTTCTCTGAACCCTAAGCTTCTAGCTTGCTCTTGCACTCTGTGCGTTGGTTCTCTGAACCTTAAGCTTATTGCTTGCTGACTAAGAGTCCCTCCTACTTCCTTAGAAGAGGGTGACCTTAACGTCGAATAACTAGTTCCTTAGAACTAAGTGGCTTTTAGCCTTAACTCTATTTAGTTCTCTCGAACTAAGAGGCTTCCAGCCGAAAGTCTTCCTCTGGCTAAAGAGCTGTGCAGCTCCGCTACAGTTATCAATCAGCAAATCGATAGAGACGGCAACGTATGATCGGAGGGAGGAGAAGGTTATGTGATATCCATGCAGCCATTCACGACGTGCAGAATGAACATGAATGTTGTACGTCTAATTCTTCCATACGCACTACACCTAGGCAGAATAGTAGTCAAGTTGCAGCCGACATGTCATCCAAAGCCCCAAACCTGTCACAAATATTAGTGGATAGCAACATCACGCTATTCCAGCGGACTTTTGCGGACTTAAGTCGTTGTGTTTTGACACCAAAGCAAAGAAATCTACAAAGACGTGCTGAGAAGACGACGAGTCCAAGAAAGGGATACAAAACGAATCGAAACGTATCGTGATGTGTATCCAGAAAGGAAAAAAATCGTGGGCCGTTGGCTTAATATATACGCAAAATTACGAAGGCCATTTCGCAGAAAACGCGATCTGTAGCGGACAAGCTAAATCTGCAAGCTTACAAGAGGTACCGGCGGTCGTAAGATGTAACATCGCCCAGTTAATGCCTCTAACTCACGACGATTTCACAGCCTGAACAAATCGGCAAGGCCATCCGTGTGATTGAAGAAAAGAACATATACATTTACCAGCAAAATAATCACTACTACTAGCTAGATGGACGATTACAGATGAAGTTGATCGCATAGACTGCAACGCGTAAATTATTGATGCTGTCTATTGAATCCTTATGAATACTTAAGAATGTCTGTAAGGGAAACCATTTGATCTTCTGCCGGCAGTGATGGTGCCTTAAAAGTGAGGCTGTCCCAGTCAAGTGAGTCATCCCTGACATGCAGTTCCGTCGTAATCGGAACGGACAAAACCACGTTCTAGGGGAGTTCGCTTCGTGGGATCGGAAGTCGCGCTCGTCGAACGCGTCGGCGACAAGGAGGCGAAACGGATAAGGGCAGGAACTTGTCAATGCCCATTTGCTGCTTTGTCGACATCTCAGGACTTCTTGCCTATTGCTTGGCATCATGTTCGCACGCTTCGCAGACTCCCGTGGCGCACGCAGCAGAGAGAAAGCCTCTTCTTTCAACCTTGGCCCCGTGATGGATGACTTCCCTTCCAAGATATGAGACCCATTTATGCCGCTTTTTCAAGGCCTTTCGTCGCTTCGCCGTTGTTGCTCTTACGCTCAGATTGGAATGCGCAGTCCATTGGCTTTGTAGTAGATCCCATGCTGGAAAACCAAGAGACATAGTGTCTGAACTAAAGTTGTAGTACACTATATGCTCTGCAATTACAATGGAAGGACTTGCTGTGAAAGACGACCGGTGTTATACAAGAGTTCATCATGATGACGGGCACTTCGTGTAACGTTAAGCCCATTACACATCAAGTCGCCTTTTGCACTTGAAAGCAACGTACTTCCTAAATTGCGCCTTCGAGCAACAACGGCCAAGAGACAAAGACCTCCCAAGAGCCGGTTTACCGGCCCCCTCTGATCTGGGTGGGAAGCCCCTCCAACGGGAGGCCCAGAATACAGAGGGGGAGGTTATTCCTCTGCTGCGTGCGCTATGGGGGGGCAAGCGCAGCGTGTGAACCGAAAGGGGAGCACCAACCCTGTCACCTCGGGCGGGAGAAAAACGACGACCGCGTTTATCATTTCCTCCTTTCCCGATATTTCCTGCTATTCTGCGTCAGCCTTTAAGCCGCCGACTTGATCGCCGAGCGCGAATCCCAGTCTCAGAAAAGCAAACTTGCCAAGAACGTAAATTGATCGGCCCCATCCAGGTACATCAGCGGCCGATCGGGATGGTGGCCGGCGCTTGTTTCGATCGTTGAGCCACTATCTACACCCGGGCTGGATAACCGATTCCACGTGCCCTTTGCAAAGTTTGATCCCCCGTGACGCCCGACGTTTCGAGCCAGCAGATTGAGCCAGCGAGGCGAAGAATGACGAAGTCCTGGTAGAAGCACTCTAGACATCGTACCAATCGTTAGTGTTTGAAATTGACGGTCTGTTACTCACTTGAAAGCCAAGTGTTTCTACACCAAGAGCTTATCTTTGATGCGATGCATGCCAATCATCTTCTTTTCTGGGCTGCTCATAATACGGACACCAGCGGCATGACAAAACCTGACATTCCAACTTTTGCTTCAACAACTCCGGTCCACAACCACACTCTTACACGATGCGAGTTCCTACTGTTGTCAAGCTGGCGGTGGTCGCAAGCGCCTTGTGCTCCATCACGTCGGCCAAGTCGACCGGTTTCAAGGCTAATTTCTTGAGCTTCTTTAGCACTGACGACGTCGCTGATGAGAACGCCAACGAGGCCGATCAGTTCAGCATAGACGACCGGACGTGTGTGTACAAGTGGTCTTCGCTGAGCTGCGAACCGAAAGACAAGTGCTCAACCCAGTACAAATTTGGCGATGTTACACCGTCCCAAGCGTGTCGTGTGACCCGTACCGGCGACCTCACCAAGATACCACAGCAGTTGCACGTAGCCTTTGCCGGCGAGAAAGCTGGTACCGGTATGGCGATCTCCTGGACCACATTTGCATTGGAAGAAGTTCCAGCTGTGTGGATTGGAGCAAGCGAATCCACAATCGTTCGAGTAAAGACAGCGAAGATCGTAACGAAAAGTTACTACAAGGAAGACGACTACTCTTTGTATAATTACCACGCTGTAGTGACTGAACTGGAGCCAAACACCGAATACTTCTATAAGGTGGGCAGCTCTACCAATACAAAGGCTCAAAGTGCTGTAAGCTCGTTCAAGACGGCTCGTTCCAGTGGAGATGAAAGCCCATTTGTCGTGGCCGTGTATGGAGACATGGGCACGGACGCGAACGCTGTTGCAGCAAACAAATACATCAACAACTTGGCAGGAAAGGTCGATTTTATCTTCCATTTGGGCGATATTTCGTACGCCGACAACGATTTCGTGACTGTAGCGACTATATTCGGCTTCTTTTACGAAGAGATCTGGAACAAGTTCATGAACTCGATGACACATGTCATGCGTCAGATGGCGTACATGGTGGTAGTTGGTAATCACGAAGCTGAATGTCACTCTCCGACGTGCGTGAGATCGACCATCAAAAAAGACCAATTGGGCAACTACTCTGCCTTCAATGCACGCTTCCGGATGCCCTCACCCGAGAGCGGTGGCGTACTTAACATGTGGTACTCGTTCGAGTACGCGTCGGTGCACTTCACGGCCATCTCGACTGAAACAGACTACCCAAATGCACCAACCAACGCATACTACACGAAACGCATTTACGGTAACTTTGGAAACCAGTTAGACTGGCTAGAAGCCGATCTGAAGGCTGCTCATGCCAATCGGGCGATCGTGCCATGGGTTGTTGTTTGCATGCACCGTCCAATATACAGCTTGCGTACGTGTAATGCTGATGGTGAACCCGAAGAAGACGGGTCGATTGAAGTGCAAAAGGCGTTTGAGGAGCTTCTGATCAAATATGAGGTGGATCTGGTGTATCAGGGCCATGTGCACGCCTACGAGCGACACTTCCCGACAGCAAACAGCAAGGCCATCATGACTGGAGTATCTAAGGACAGAAAAACGTACACCGACCCGGAGGCTCCCGTGTATGTAATTACGGGCAGCGCTGGTAATTCGGAACGCCTATTTCAATTCAAAAACCGTCGGTCTCCAGAGTGGCTCGCTCACAAGGACTGCACTCACTACGGCATTACGAAACTGTCGGTCACCCCAACGAATCTTACAGTCACGATGGTCGAAGCTGCCACGGATACGGTGTACGACGAGTTCTCCATTATAAAGACACTCAAACAGGAACAGCGTAACAACTAAACTACTTGAAGCGTTCATTTAACAACGGTCTGGTGACTTTGGACTGCTGGTCGAAGGACAAAAACGCGCCGTTGATGAGTTACGTTTGTGGCGTGATCCCAACTGCTGCGCATTAGAAGCTAAAGTGTGCTTGCGATTGCAGCTAGCAACCAATAAACGTACCTGTAAATATAATTGTTCGTGTGTCGTAGATGAGATCGGGATAGCGGCCAGGCCACAACGAAGCTGCCACAAACTTGCAATCAGAAGAAAACCACCAAGACTTGGTCCAAGTGTTATTCACAGCATTATCACAGCTTGACGTGGCAAGACACAGGGACGTCTTTGCACCAACTGATACGTGAACTCTTGAGTGTTGATCGCTGCATTGTTGTGATGGTCTCGCAGATGGCTTTGTGAACAAGGCAAATGCCCTGAAGAAACAACCTTTTCGTCGGTACAAAGGCTCGGAAAGTACGCTGACATGAACGCTGGAGACGCTCCAGGACTCACCGCAGGGAAGTGCGTGGGAGACAGCAGCTTTACAGCAGACGCCAATCAATCTCTGGGCTCATAGGAACAGGCTCACCGCATATCAAGTGTGGATCGTATATGAGGCAGCTAATCTCTTCTTTCCAAACCGAGGGCAAGATAACAGTTGCCGCACGTTCCAATGCTGCTAAGGAGTGAAAGAAACACTGGAACACATATGCTAGACATGCCCATGCACGCAAGCCTGCAAGCCTGCGGGCAGAAACTCATCTGCCACTAGATAGGAGAACGTTGGGAGCTTAAACGGCTCCAAAGCCTTCTTGCAAACAGTACAAGCAGACGCGCAAAACTATCCAAGATGGTCCAGAAACAGCTCACCAGACACCATCCAGACGAGCTGACCGTATTTGTCGTGTGGAAACGTGTATGGAACATCCTGTGCAACGTTTGCATCACCACTTATAAAGTCCCGAGCTGTGCATAGGTCTCATTCGACGCCATCAACTTAATATTGACCTTGGTCTTGTTTACATAGACATCATCGTCGTCACAGCTCACAAGGTGGATCTTGATGACCTTTTAACCGTTGAAGTCTTTCGAATACTCCATGACTATCACTTGGAACACACCACAAGTTTTCAAAGCTTTGCAATCATCTATTGAGACGGCCAAACAATCGTAGCGACTTCATTTCTAGCGCATGCAAACATGAATACCGACAAGACAAAGGTGCTTCACAATTGTAGCTGCTGTTGTGACTGGTGGATGAACATGGAACTGCTGATAGAGCTTATTGTCCGCTGCTGTTGCAGTCTGCCACTGCCAGACGGAAACAGGATTTCCTTGAGCCTCTCGTTACGGAGCACAGCACGCAGCGACCACATGTTATCGCTAGTCTCATCGTCGTAGATACGCCAGCTCCAGTAGGTCCAGCCGCCTTCGGCTTGATTTACCACCGCCGTCTGCGCCTGAGCGAACTGATAGAACAACTCCGAGTCGTTTGCAAACTTCCCGTTTGTAGCGAAACACCACTCGCCGATGAAAAGGTGGTTGTGACCCGGGACTGAGTTCCACTGCGTCACATCGTTTTGGAAGTTCACTTTGACGCTCGTATTCACCAGCTCCTGGTCCGATACGTTGTCGTAGCCCCATACAAAGTACGGATGCCATTCCACCCACACGTTCGTGTACTTCGGGGCCAGCATAAAGTCCGTCATCACATCAGGGGACTGTTCGTACAGCAACGGCGCTACCGTCAACACGCACTCACAGCCCGTTGCTCGAACGGCACTGTACGCTCGTTCATAGTAGTCATAAAGTATCTTTGTCGTCGCTTTTCCGTTCGGTTCGTTCAGGAGCGCGAAGCCAAGGAACGCGTCTTCGTCTTTGTATCGCTCGGCCAAGTACGACACCATCGAGATGGTATTGTTGACATTCTCAGCAAATGAGGCCCAGAAATCCGTGCCATAGACGCTCGGAGACGAGTGGTCTGCTCCGTTTTGAGACCCCTTTGCTGCGTGAACACTTAGCAGCACTGCGACGTTGTGCTTCTTGGCCCAGGCGGTCACCAGCAAGTCCAAGTACTTGAGAGTCCCCTTTGTAAAGACTTTCCACTCAGCTTTGCCTGATGGGTCGTCGTTATCGAACCCGACGATCCAGTAGCCGATAGGAACGCGCACGGTATTGATGCCGACTGCGGCGATGTCGGCAATGTCGCTTCCATTGATGAAAGTCGAGTGGTGGTACTCGAGGTGCGAGCGAATAGCGTCCGGGTCAGTGGCTTGGACGATAGCCGTGTACTCTCCATGGGAGGCGTTCACACTTCCCTTCCAGAAGTCGGCAGAGCTAGTCATCCATTTTTCGGCCACGAGCCACGACCCAAGGTTTACTCCTCTGCTTTTCATTTGACCGTTGCGGATACTGTACTGCACGTGGATCGTTGCAGTTGCTGTGACGTTTGCCTCCGATGTCGAGTCATTAGCTTGTATGTTATCGGAGCTGGTCAAGGTATCAAAAGTTCTGGATGAGGCTACAACGACTGCAGCAAGGAGACAGCAGAAATTAAGCAACATGGCGACGTGACAAATTGGAAACTACCAAGTCGGTCGTATGACTGAGCAAAGGAGACCACGAAGAAGATTGAGGTGACTCTACTCGCATCACATCTTTCTGGTCTCACAGTAGCTTGCTCTACTAGATGGTCACATGCAAAGAATACGCCAGGCTTGTCTGGCCCGCTTCTTAAAAGGCGATAATGTAGGCACAACAGGATGTCGATCAGCAGCTTTCGTCAATATCGGGCCATCCGCTACGTTAGTTTATTACACATATCACAACGGCATCCTGCACTCCTACAGCTTTCATGCTACGTCAAGTATGTGTCGAAGTAGGTAAAGAATGGCTTTAAGACTAGCGACCAAGACGCAACATGTTATCGAACTCGCGACACATGCGATGTGGTGGATGCTGTGGTAGTAAATGGTTTGGTAAACGTAACATCATGTCTGGATCCTTCAATTGATGTCTGTCGAGCCCTGCACATTCGATCGTGTTGCAGGTCTTAACGTTCGTCATTCGGTACTTGATGTGCATGCAATTGACATTCGCTCTTTGTACACGTCGTCATCGGATATTTGCACATCGAAAAGCTCTCAATATAAACAGTGTTCATTGAGTCATCTGCGACTTACACCACGTGCCTAGACGTTCATACACCTATGGTTGCATGGTTTAATTGTTGGAACTCAAACCAGCGCATCAACGATAGCTTTTGGTCCACACTTCACATGGCCAACATGCCCTGGGGACTAGATAACTTTGACAGTACAGATTCTAGTGGCACTCATATTCTTGCTTTTCTAGCACGGCGTTGACTTGTGCAGTTGGCTACGTTGGCATGAATGAGGTCTCGCGCTAAACACACATCAAAGTTGTACATCCCCAAGCAGCTCAGGTGGTCAAAACCCTCCAATTCGTTCATGCATTCATCAAAACGGAACTATCAACATCAATCACCGTGTCATCGACACCATCAACGACATTGTTGTCGAGCGAACCGGCACGGCCATTTTTCACTTTTAAAGTGCACGCAACTGTTGCAGCACAATCTCAAACACTTCTTCGCATGGCTGAAGCTCGTCACGGGTATATATTTGCTCCATCAGCGAGTTGAGACTTTCCACAGCGGCCAGCAGGTTTCTCTACAAGGACAGTTGCAGATATCATAAGGTCAGACACAGCAAAAGTTAACGCCCAGCACCAGAATGCCATTCCTTACCTGAACGGGCTTGAACAGGATCGTCTCGGTGGATGAGTTGCGAAGATAAAGGTGAATCGTCTGTAGAATGTCTGGCAACGTATCGCGCAACTGATGAGAGACATCCACGAGCACATTGTTCACCTCGGTAGGTGCAGCAAAGGCACATTGACGAAAGTCAAGTGCCGTGGCTTTTTGTGTGTGTTGTACATGGGCGACCTGCTTCATCAGCGTGAGCAGTGGGCCGGCCAACTGCTGCAGCACAATTTCAATGAAGCACGTGCAACTCTTCTTCAGCTCGTGCTCAAGCTTCTTTTTCACATCTGCTGTAGTCTCCTGGATATGAGGTATACCACGCACAAAGAGACCCATAATGCCATTCGGTCCCGAGAAACGAAACAGTGTCGATGTATCCGCAAGCAGCTCATTCATGGCATCCGCGCTGCTAGTAAAGTCTAGCGCCTTGCTGGTCTGTGCAAACTGAATCTCGAACGGAGTTATCTGCTCGCGTAATGTGAGCAGATGCTTGACCAGAAAAAGCGAGCCATGAAGACCACCCTGAGTCGCTGTAATTTCAGCTGAAGCCATTTTTAAGGACGCTGCGCAAATTTGAATGGCGTCCTGTGCCAATTCCTCAAAAATCTCCATCTATGACGTTTGGCCAAAGTAAAACAAAATGAATGAGTGCGTCCAATAATTTGCAAGTATTTTCCAGCCAAAACTGACCTTGACATAATGATATCCCTTTGACAGACACATCAAGGTGTGTTCCAGCGAAGGGTACCATGTAGCATATAACGACGCACTAGTCTGCTCTGCGGTCACTAACTTCGCCGGGTAGTCTAGATCAGCGGGGGTGGGCACAAAGCCTTCGATTTCGTCGCGAATATATTTCTGCATGCACAAGATGAGTCGCTCCTGTGCATCTTGAATCATACGGTGCATCACTGGCTCGGCATAACCCACAAGAGCTACACGCGGAGTAATTGCTGCCTCGATCACTTCGCTCCGTAATATCTGAATGACCTCACATAATACTTCCAGATCCTGTTGAATTAAAACTTGAGGACGCATAGTGTTGTACAATAATCCGCTAAGCTGGAAAATAAGTCGTCTAGCGGACCAAAAAATATATCATACAAAGTCAGCGGATACGCACGTCACAACACTGTGCAAACCACGTACTCGAAGGCGTTCTCAATGTCATCCTCTCTCTCTTCAGGCTCGGATATGTGGGCAATATCGATACCTGAGAAGACGAAGAGCTCGTCGCTCGGATCGTGGCCAAAAAGTTTCAGAAAGAGTCGTAGCTCTGCCTCACATACCTTGAGTAGCTGAGCACATGTTGCACGGAGCACATTTACGATATCCGACGTTTGAGACAGAGCACTTAGCCACGTGCCAAACACGGGCGATAGCAGCTGTACACGCTGAGAAGCATACGCATCGACCACCTCTCCTAGCACACGCAAATTCTCGGCACTATCCTGCGGCGGAAGAGCATTTAAACGTTCAAGTTGTTTTGCTACTGCTGCAAGCGCGGGCGCTACCAGTTGAAAATTCAAATAAAATGCCGAGGTTTCATCCAGTTGCCCGACTGACAAAGTTGTCCCACTGCTGTGCTGCGACTTCATTACTTCTTTCTGCAAGGCCTCGTACACTGCATCCTTTGCTGCATCAAGACCACTGAGTGCATAGTCTTTCAGCGCTTGAATTCCGCCTGCTGCAAGTGTCCGATACGCGTCAATATAGCACGCCGAGTCCTTATATTCTGCCTTTATAGCAACAAGAACACCAACAACATGAATCTCTCTCTCTGTGTTCACTACCCACCACCACCAAAGTGTTTCGTACATGTTTTGTTAAAAATGCGACCGACGTGTCAATTTTCTCCAGTGCTTGTTCAAAACCTTTTGTAGTTGGATCGATCTCTCGTCGATGCTGATAAACTTGCACTGCTTGACTTGATTTTGTTCCCTTCTTCTTGAAAGAAGCTCCTGTTCCTCGTGTTGTTTCTACTTGATTCGACAACTTCTTGTCATTCGAAGGTGTTGCAAATTTCACACCAAAGCCAAGCGCTTGGGCAATTGTGTCAATTGCTGTAAAATGAGGCATTGGAGCAGCAATTACAGCCACACGGGCATCCAGTGCTTCAATTTGCTGTAAATTGGTCTCAAAAGTACGATAAAGTGCTTGCGTTTTAGTAACAACTTGGACGTGACTCGCTTCCATGTCCACCACAAGAGCATGGGAGGCATGGGCGTGCGTGTATAGACGGTCCCATTGTGACATGCAAGTGTCCATCTGAGACACTTAGATGGACAAATGAAGGGTCCAATTGAACGGGACTTTTCGTCTGATTCTTCTTGGACATTTGCTGCGTTTGAAACAACTCCCGCAATGTCTTGAGCGTCTCTGGACGTCGATGGAGACGTAAAATTGATGCATGAGTCTCCGCTTGTGTCTTGAGCTGCACGTGGCGCTCTAATACGTTTAATAACGTCTCCTGTGCGACGCTCAGAGACGTCGACTGGACGCTACTTGGTGGCATTATCGGGATGACGTACGTACTAAACGTTTTTTTATATTATGAACAACATGGGTTTAAAAACGTGGGAAGGCGTTATTTATCCCCCACCTTTTATAATACCAATCAACCACCTCTGTGCATGCGAACTTGTAGGGTCGTTTGTACATGCCACCACGTCTGGCTGTGAAAACGAAAACTTGACACGATGGAATCGACTCGACAATCACATATTGTCCGTGTATTCACTAGCAGTCAACAACTCGCAAAGGTACTGGTGTGCCTTGGAACCGAGACGACGCTGGTTTTTCCCACAACGAACGTGTTCGACCTCACTATTTCGGCCACGTTTACGTAAAGCACTTTCCAACTCGTGAAAGTTCTGGTACTTCGCTGACAGATCCACGGTCTTGGCAGCACTCAGTCCGGGCACTTGCAAGAGCATTTGCTGAAAAATTTCACGCACGGTAAGCTGAGGTTTCTTTCGAAACCGAGAGTTAAACGGGATGAAGGTCTGCGGTGGCAGACAAAATGTTCGTGCAAAGTCATCCGCGTTGTATCTCCCTTGGGATAGCAGGTGCGAGCAAGCAGGCTTGACAATCCTCGGGTTCGGAGGGAATTTGGCAAGTAGACGTGCGTATACACGAGCGAGGAACGTCACGGTCTCATCCGCGTTCTGGCACTGCTGAACAAAAAAGTTGTTTTGGACCTGGGTTCGACCCATTGCCGTATCAAGACCACTCGTGCGGACGGTAGTTATCTGTGACAGAGAGCCTTCAACAAGATAAATGACACGCACGTCACCACAATTCTCACGCACGGTTGCTAGGCGTAATTTCTGCTCAAAGAAGCGACGGTCAATGATACTGCCCGACAAATCGTGAACTTCTTTTCGCTCGACGATAACGTTCATCATGAATTCCTGTGTTTCTTCGCCAATGCGATGTCGGCGAGCTATCCATTGCACATCACCAACTCCAAGTGCACGCACCTCGCAGTTCACGTTTTGCTCTAGCAACTTTCTCTCTAGAATGCGCGGATTGCGTCGTTCAATGATCTCACGATGATCCAACAGTAGCACCAACTCCCACGAGTCTGTCTCGTGAATGAAGTCTTCAGGAATAATACAGCTCCTGTTAACTCTTTCCGGCTCTGGTTCCGGTACTTCTTCACTCACAACCTCAGCATCCGAGTCCGAGTCCTCCACTTCAATATACGTCGAATTAAGACTTGATGAAGATCGTCGGACAGCTTCACGTGCCAAAGTCTGCTGTCTCGAGCTATTGTCCGACGTAAAACATAAAGTATCTGTAGCAGGAGTAGCAGTATTTTTTGAAGATAATCCGGTCAGTGATCCTGGACACAATTCTGCACTACGTTGACCGTTGTCCGTCAGATAGTAATAGCCGATATCCGACCTCTTTATCACCTCGTGCGTTCCATTAAGTGACGCTAAACACGTCCGTAATTTACTTCGATTACCTTGATACTATATCAAGAATTAGTACACAAGAGTAAGTAACTTTATATGACAGTAACAAAACCACCTCACCCCAGCCGCCAGCATCATCTGTAGCAACGAGTCACTCGATATGGCTGTATCTTTATCCACCGCTTGGGCTTCTTGCAACGCTAATAGCACGTACCATGGCTCTGCAGTATACGATTAGATAGATACCTCTAATTTAGCGTCAGCACCATAACCCTATTTTAACGGAAAAATCCCCTTACGTTTACGATAAGCCGGGATATATTCCCTTATTGGACGTTCTGGTGTCCCTAATGCCGACTTATGGGTCGATATCTCAGCTTCTACGTGTGTTACTTCCGTCAGAAGTGGTGCATTAGATGCGACTGCTTGTTCTACTGGCAATAAACCTCTTTTTATTAGAATACTATGGATTTTATTCGCCAGATAATTGCCGATATTCTTGAGCTGTTTGGCCTCTCGGGCGCTGCGTAGAGGCGTCGGATGTGCGCGAACGGAAGCGATGGCGCGTCTGTAATTAGAGGCCAAATGAGATGACTCACGGACACGTTGTTTAAGTGCTAGCAAGTCCTCTACCAAGAAGTCGTTGCCCTCGTGCATGCAGCCCTGAGCGCTGCGTGGTCGATTAGCGGTCATGTTATGGATAATTTCTACTACTTTTCTACCGGTAGTAATAAATAAGGATTTTAGGATTTACAATTGTGTGTTTATTAGTATATTATAAGTGGTAATATATTACTGCAACGTTTTTTTAGCTTTGTTATGAATGAAAACGGAAAGGTTTCAAATAAATACATTATGACATATCAACGCTAAAACTGTTATATACACCCGATTCTATCTTAAAAAGCCAATTTTGTTAAATTTAACAGCTATTTGATACAAAGGCTCACGGACATCATGAACGTGACGAATCGAATTTTATTGAAACATTTTAGTACATTATTTAGACGGACAATTAGTCACACTTAGTGACATAACGGCCTTGAAGTTGGATTGACCACCATGACTCGCAGAGAAATAGTCACCACTGACAAAAATGTGGGACACGATACAAAACGTAAGCAGCGACCAGGCAATTAAACAAGTCTCGACACTATCAAATGCAACCGTAACAAAGCCACGCGGTCCCTTGTTCAAAAGTAATGGGACGCTTTTTGTTGATCGCTTTCCTTTAGTTTGAACTACTTCCTCTCTATACTTTTGAGCTTTAATTTTTTTTTTAAATAAAAATGATCGTCTAGTCTTTATTTTTTATTATCGAAAAAACGATAGTAAATGTATTCATATTTTTTGTCAAAATATTTGAGTAGGGCGATTTGTATAAAATTAAAAATCTTCTACCATTGTGCTAATCGTGGTCCTTTCGTAAACTAAATTCGGTGAGTGCATATATAGAACATGACAACGTCTAACAATCGAAGTTTAGTGCAATGTAGACAACACACGTCCTGGCTATTACGAACCTTCACGTTTTAAAGACACTGGAGATCCACTTTCAAATGAACTTGCATCGATTTCAAGTCGGTGTTGCTACCACAAGTGATGACCATTGCAAGATGATGTTGAATCAATTGCAAACTCAGCTCAGAATTCCTGTAATGACTTGGAACTTGCACACAGATAAGAATCTTTCCACATATACTCTTTTGAGTAGTCAGGAGTGCTGGATTCGCGTCAAGTCTCAGATCACCAGTTGTTTACTTGCGTGATTTTTTTCAAACCCGGTCCCAGGAATCAGGTCGCAGTTGCATCGAAGCGCGGTAATGTTGTTCAGGTTAACCGATAACTCGCACGTTAATGACAATCACGCGCTCCAATTTTGAGAAGCAGGTTGTTGTGAATCAGACTGCTTCGAACCATCTGACACCGAGTTTGTGGCGCCACCGACTGTGCGTTCAGTAGAACCTGTTGGCTCCAGATGCGGCTCGAGATAAAAAAATGACACGCTTTCGTTATCAGTATCACGGTTCTTTGGACGTTCAACTCGTACTGCAATAACTTTGTTCCGCTGTTTAGACCTCGTCCCGTATAGGGGCGCGACGGTCAACCAAGTTCGTCAAAGTTTCAATAATCATTCGCTCGTAGTAAAGCCTGATAAACCGGACAAACGAAAGCACGTCAGAGCACGTCGCCTGGCTATAAAACCTCCTTGGGACTTCACTTATTCGCATTAAAGTGCATCTCGGTAGCTTCAACAAAACCGCAGAAAAAATCTGCCATAATTTACCGTCCAGGTATGCTCCATAGCCCAGCAGAAACTCGTAAAATACCCAAACTAGAAGGAAAAACATAGAACATTAAGCATCGCCTGCTCGCGTACTCAGGCCAAGAGAGAGCCACCCGATAGCGTGCTCGATCCCAATTCCGACCACATTTATGAAGTTTCACAGCGGCTCTAAGTCACCTTGTAACTTCGCGTTAAATAGCACTTACGTCCTGAGAGGAGACCTTTGATTTGACAAACTCCGGTGAACTCGGCTCAATGACTTTCTCATCAACACTCCAACTTCAAATTTTCGGTGGTCATGCACTAGACAACGCAATGTCGAGTCCGCGAAGGCTTGCCGACAAAGATAGAGACAACAACGCAGACCTAAAGCTGCGATGCTCGATTTCAGGTGAGGGCAAGTGGCCAAGCTTCAGGCGTGAAGACTTTCGTTTGGAAGGCACGCAGACCACTAGTGCATCCAGTGAGCTCCCGATTCCTTTATCCTCGGCGCTTCAGGGGTCCAACTCTGTCACATCTTTGTCGTCGGGATTTCAAAGTTCTGAATTGAGTGGTCCGTTGACTATTCCTGTTAGCAGTAATGGAAGCGAAGCTTACAATCATTCAGATTGGAACATGATCTCGTCAAACTCCTTTGATGATACATACTTGGAAGGCGAGTACGCCAATGGAGGGATGCCTTTGGGGTCTGCGACTGTATCTTCTCCTCTCAACCACCTCAATGAGCCGATGAACAATCTTGCACTGGAGAGCGAAGATCACGATTTGCCAGTCATTTCAATGCCGTATCCGGGCACCAGTTGGTTCATGAGCGGCAAGACAGATTCAGGAACTGGCAATGCGTTTTCCTTACCCGCATTCGGGGGACTTACTTCTCGTACACAGGCGGTAAGTACAGGAACGACGGAAAACAGTACCACATTAAGAGGCAACACATGTACTCCAAGCTTCCATTCAGGAGGTGCGGACTTTCCGGTCACTATTGGAAAACTACCTGGCGATGTCGTATCTTGCCCATCTGATGCTGCCTCTCCTGTACAAATGGAAAGTTTTGCTCCGTGGCTTCCGCACAGTATGGAACCTTCAGAATTACTTTTCGAAGGCATAAACACCTGGACTGGAGCTTCCGCAGACATTTACGACAACCAGTACTATCACCAACAGCATAGTCAGCCGCCCTTCTTCAATGCATCATCGAGCCAAACTGCGTCAAACGGATACCCTTACTTTGAGAGCACACCCAACACAACTAGCCGTACGATATCAACTTTGCACCAGACCTATGCACCATCGTACCAACGCCACCCACTGCTTTCAAGCGTATCGACATCATCACCCCTCTATCGACCAGTTCAAAGTCCTGAAGAAACTTTTACCGCAACCAATAATTGGACGACAAATCAGGTTCGCCACCACTCGACCCCTTTAACAGCACGCCCACTCGCTGATGAACTTGAGAGTTCAGGAGTCCGCATCAACGCAAATGATCACGGAAATTACCGATCGAGTGCATCGGAATCGCTGCGTGGTGCCGAAGAGGGGCATACGATTAGACGCCTACTGCAATCGTCAACACTTGACCAACATGACGTCCGCGTAAGCACTTCAGAAGCCGTGCTAGAGACAGGAAACTTAATGACTGAAGAGGTAATGGCGGTTCCGACGACGAGTCCTGTGGCCTTAAACCAGTCTTCAAAAATTCAGCTACTGACAGCATTAAACAACTGTTACTGGAAGAATGGACGGAAAAACCTGCAGTGTTTTCCGTCATGCCCGGAGCACCACGATTTCTACTCGATGAAGATGAACAATCGTAAGCACTCGAGTGTCGGTGTGTGCCGAGGACCTGTGTATTGTCACGCATTCACAAAAGCTTCCGAGTTCTTGCCAGCAACATCGACACAGCAGATGAAACGTGAGAGCGGTATGGGCGTTCCCTGTGGAGGTAGTAGTGCGCGTGAAATATTTGTTCTTGGTCGTTTCGAGCGGGTCCCCCAACAAGAATCCACAAATCTTCTGGAAGACCTGAGCGCACCTCCGTCGTTCCCGAATGCTGCACTCTTTGAACAATTTCAGTTCACATGTTTTCAGGCTGTGGAAATGGAAGAGCGTCGTGTATTGCTGCCAAAATCACCTCATGACCCGTCCACGGAAGCTTTTGACTCACCCAAATCAACATCGGGACTTTCAGGAAGTCTTGCTCATGCGCAGAACGGCTTTATCCGGAGCACTTGGTTCTTCTTGCCCGATGTATGGAAGGTACAGCCCATGTTAAAGAAGAAGCGCAAGGCGACACGCTCAGCCCCAGCTCAGACGTTTCCATTTTGCTTCCGCATCTTCATCTACACACGCAGTATTGACGGTCCTGACTATTCCTGTATTGCCAACACAGCCTCGACCTTCTTTGAGCTCTTTTCAACGCGAACGGTGGATCGTGTCAAACGCAAGTACTGGAGCGGCGAAGTCCCGTCGAAAGCCACAAATCAGCGTTCACACAAGCAGCGAGGACTTCAGCGGCTATAGTCCATTCACCGCCTGTTGCATTTCTATAGAAAATAAGACCCCGCTTGAAGGGCAATAACGAATACATAAAGCACCTTTGAAGTGACGCCATCTATTCCATCAGTCGCAATTTGCCGTCTTTAAGCTCCAAGCATAGCCTCGACGCATCACCGGCTCAGGAAGTAGATGCAGTATATAACAATCTGCGACTGAAACTGGGACTACGACGACAGAAAAGCACTATCTTTAGGTCCTACAAGCAATACTTCACGCTATTGAGAAAAAAACATTGCGACCGACAAGAAACGAACGAACCTGGCGGATGCTCTCTCTCGTATGAAACTAAATACCTGCTGCACCTGCTGTTCTTCCGTGCTGATCGGGAATACGTCCTATTGTTCAATCTATCGAATGAGCAGGATGTGCGAGCTAGGAAAACAAAAAGAACATTATCTTTCTACTCATAAGAAAGTCTCAGAGTTGTCAGCTTCATTGCATTAGATTGATCAACGGGAGTAAGCACCTGTTTCAACGAGCAACACTACAAGTCTTACACAAACTTAGCGGCTTGAACCAGCACCTTCAGAGAAGCCTTCGCAAATGTCGCGACGGGATCTGAATTGCCATCGTTTGGGTTTAAAATGCCAGACGTGTGCGCGTCCACATACTCTTGTTCCTTATCACGTGCCACCTTGAATAACTTTCATAGTTCAACACAATTGTTCATTAGTCCACTATAACAAAATACAAACAAGTCATTTCAGCATTTCAAATTGCAAACCTCTTTGAGTTCGACCATCTGAGGTTTCGTAGCGTAAATTTCACGGATCTGGTCATTATAATAGTCGCTTACTGCCATTTTTACCCCCAGTAAGTACGATGTACTAATTTTGTCTCCCAGCACACCCAGTACACTCCCTGGACTCAGAATAAGCACAAAACATCAGTATTTTACCACTAAACCATCTGACAAAAAGACGTACCAACAACCAAACTGCTGAGTTCCACAGCTGGAAGTACAAGACTCGGACGAAACCGAAAAACTTTTGTCCAAACAGCTTCTTCAATACGTTGCACGGCCTTGTTTTCAATCTCTTGCAATTCCTACGGTAATATATATATATATATATATATATATATATTGATACAAAAATAAATTACTTTCCATCTGGTAATAAAAAAACCATGTGTTTCGCCCACCTTGTACTTTTTAGAATGATTACTGGGGTATGTCTTGATTACATAAACAATCATTTCATGTTAGTAAACAAAGGGATAGGTATTGCAACAACCTGTCATCTTTTATTTCTCCAATTATATTATTAAATCTTGCAATAATAAGGACCTTCGCGTGCAACATCGTGGCGCTCGCGACCTGCAGGGCGTGGCCACCACGCAGCATTTCACTGGCTTTTGAATCCTGTGCCTTCGGATACATGGGCACGTCACCACAATTCTTTTCTAGCCAATTGGGTCGCACGTAGACGGTGGACGCACTGCGAACGAAAGGGCGGACGACAATCATTTTGCGCATTTTTGATCAAAATGGAAACAAAAAATCTGAGTCAAAGCTAAAATAAACGCCGAAGATGGTCATAAAAACAAAAATATTTCTAAATCGTGAGATTTCAACCCAAAACCTTCTTTTATCTTAATTTTCTGCAAATAAACATCTCTCCCTTAGCTTTTAAAGACTAGAATTCTCATGTTATTCTGTCATGACAAATAATAGTTTCCGTAATCTGTGCGAAAAGTCACTCCAAATAGACAAAACCAAATTCTTTTTTTTGGTAAAAAGCAAAGAATCGTGACTAAATCAACGCACAAATATGAGCATCCAAGTGCCGAGTAAATTACTGGCCAATGTTAGTGAGCCAGTGGTTTCAACGGTGCCGCACGCGTTTGGTCATCAATCACTTGTTCTCGAATATTATTCGGCACACCACCGATTACTGAACTGCCAGAGCCACGGGTAGCAATGATTCTCCAGTTAAATTTATACGGACGTCTGTAGAACCCTTTACATTTATCAGCACAGCCAGTACGTACATGTTATCACCACGAATGATATAGAGTCCAAGCTCTACAGCCTCGACGGGCTCCTTGAGCGAGAAAACACGCTCGAAACTTTCGTCTAAGACCACATTTACACACTGGTCAAAGCCCTTGAGCACACCCTACATCATTCCAACCATATCATTTACAAGGGTGTCAGTATTAATGCATGATAATGCGTTGTTGTGCGCTTAAAATGCGGAAGAACTTTTCACGTACGATGATATTCCGACCGTCATTCGTGATAACCGAAATGGTCTCTACGTGTCAAATAGCAAGCAATTACACATAACAAAAACACCATTAGAATCGTCATTGTCTTCTCTCTACATATAGCTACTCGCTATTGTAATCTGCAGCGTATTACGGCACTTACGGTCCATCATTTCCTGTAAATACGCTGACATAGTAGCGCCAGCAATTGAATAGCAATACTCCTATATATTTCAAAATCATGTAGTGTACATAATTATGCATCAATCATTTCAATTCCCAACACTTGAATAATCTATTCACACCTGTTCATCAGACGTCATGGGTGGTCAAACATCGCGTATGGTTCGTGAGATCGTAGAGGACTCGACGTATATTATCCGTCAAACAAATCACGCAACTTACCAACGCAGTCGTAAAGCTCATGATGAGGTTCAAATGAAGCTTATGGAGCTTCGTCAACTTAAACAAGAGATGCTTGAGTCCACTAAGAGTGATGCCCAACGTTCCAATGTCTTTGAATCGTTCCAAAAAGTTGTTGGGAAGCAAAAAGAAGAACTAGATGAGCAGGTGATGAAGCTGGTAGTATACAAATAGACCGACATTATTCGAGTTCTTCATTCTAAGTGACATTATTTGTAACAGGTTGATGGATTCGTCCAGCAATTTGAGCTACCAAAGAGCTATCAGAAGATCGCACATGTTCATCGTCAAGAGATATCTGTAGTCAAACACACGACACAAGAAGCGGCCAAAGCTTTTGAAAAGCCACTGGAGACACCACAGGAATAAAAAAAAACTGGCTGCCTTTTGACAAAAATGCAATGTGCATGGAATACACTACGCTCACTACTGTACCTGTACACTAGGCGCTGGACTTTTTGCAATGCTGCACGATCCATGGATGCTCTAGTATACGCTCTAGCGGCATACGCTGCTGTGGGTCGTGTCGTAGAATCTTTACCAATAGATCTCGAGCATCGGAAGTCATGTAGCTTGGAAATTTGAGATCTACATGTGCAATGCGGCGGTACGTCTCCTTGGTGTTTTCAGTCTCGAACGGAGGTGCACCTGTTAGAAATTCATACATGAGGACACCAAGTGTCCAAACGTCCACGTTCTCGTCGTGGGGTTTGTTTTCAATCATCTCAGGTGGAAGGTAATCCAGAGTACCACAAAGCGTCGTCCGTCTTGAAGACGGTGCGTGTACGGACCACCCAAAATCTGCAATCTTAAGCTCGCCATTAAAGCCGACGAGCAGATTTTCCGGCTTGATATCACGATGGATCACGTGCTTACTGTGCATGTACATGAGAGCACGTGCCATCTCTTGAATGTACAACGCTGACTGTTTCTCGGAAAAACGCCCCGCTCGCGTGAGTTTCTTGTAAAGCTCTCCCTGCGGCGCATACTCAATAATGAGATAGACCCTTTTGCTGTCGTAAAAGTAGCCATATAGTCTCAAGATGGATTTGTGACGCAAATGCGACTGGATTTCAATCTCACGACGAAGCTGATGTTCCATACTGGACTTCATAAGCTGTTGTTTGTTCAGTACTTTCAGTGCAACGACGTACTTGGATTGTTTTTCACGAGCTAAGTAAACGTTCCCAAACTTGCCTTTGCCCAATGGTTTACCAATATCAAAGTCACTCAATTTCCACGTCTTTTTACTAGACGATGAGGATGAAGATGATGATGATAATGATAACGTCTCGGTCGTCTTCGTGTCGATTTTTGTATCAGCTGTTCGACCTGATAGAGTTGAAGATTTCGTCAAAGGTCCAGAGCTTTTGGTCGACGTAGTGACGGCTTTGTAATAACTTGAGCTTTTATCGTGAAGGTAAGAGCTTAATTGAGACGATGATGCATCATTATACGGCCGTCGAGACGCAGTCGATCGTTCTCCGCCCGCTTTACGAGGATATCGAGAGTCGTTCATTTGGTGCTTCATGGCACCAGAAACGGTGGAGGTCCCGGGTTTTAACTGACGAGATGTTGATAGCAGTGTACGTTTCGAATGGATCGAGGTCGTGGGCACCACACGATTCTCTTTATCGGCGTCGAATCGTCGCATTTAGGAAGAAAACTTTGGAGCAGGAAGGCCAATATGGACGCAAACAAGCGTAAACAGGCGAGGCGTTTTAATATCCAATTTAATTAATGATGAAAAGTTGTTATTGTGATATTGTCACAATAAAAGTTTTATTAAGTGTCAGCTAAAATAATTGCATAAGTGTCAAATACTTCCTACGAATAATTTTATTTTATAATTACTTGCGCGAGTTATTGTAGCAAGCTACCAAATTAACTTAAGTTATTAGTAATGTGCTTTCTCGATTCCATAGTAATGTTAAGTTGTTTCGATTCCATAGTAATGTTACGTTTTTAAACAATGGCATGTAATGAATGCAAATAGGCGTGTATTTTCAATTTGGCTCGTGATGGCGCCAAGCGAAACAACTACGTCCTATGCAAACCAAGCTAGGCATTTATCAACGAATGGATCCTCTCTGGCCTCTACTTGCCAATACTTAGCCAAAGATAGAGTGGTTGGGCGTCTCGACGTACACCCAGATACACAGGATAATGAGCACGAACGCAAGCGAAAAGCTGCCCACCATGTTGCCCTGGTCCGTCATACTCTTGTGACTCCAGCCAAAGTACGTCTGTACGCTCATACGCACCATGGGGCCCAATTGACTAGCCAAGAAACCACCCAAGAACAGCGACGCAAAGTAGAGGGGAGTGCCGTGAGTCGTGGCCGCGTTATTGTAGCCCGCAAAGTAGCGCACACTATCCCACATCATCCCGAATACCATCGCCATGAACACCAACAGGTTCGGCAGCTCCATGATACTGTTGCCACCAATAGCGCCCGTGTTGGCCCACGTGGCCTCTTTGCCCGTGATCTTCCAGTAGAAAGTCTCAAACACAGCGATAACGTGTACAAACGCGTACGAGAACCACGTCTGTTGACTACGCAGCACGTCGTCGTTGTCAACCGTTCGATTTGACAGAGCCGATAGAATACTCTGTGCCACAATCTTAGGTACAAGAGCCATGAGTAGACGTAGTCCGGACGTGTATATCGGAGCTTGCCCAGTGTATAGGAAGTAGCCAGTGATGTAGAAAAAGAAAATAGCCGGAAAAGAGCCGATTGGGTACACTGTCAAATTCATAAAGAATACCCAGCGCATAAACTTGTTGATCTTGCGCTTTGGCGGCAGCTCAACTTGCGGTGGTGTCCACTCGGGGTCCACCAAGCTCTTCTTGTTGCGCAAAAAGATCTGGAAGTTGCCCTTTGCCCAACGCTTACGCTGGGCCAAAGCAGCAGCCACAGACTCAGGCACAGCACCTTCTGCAAGACGAATACGGTCAGCCTCCTCGCCTTCGAGATCCTTACGGAAGTAGTAGCCCTTCCATCCCTTGTCCACCATCATCTTGCCAGTGTAAGCATCTTCCGTCAATGATCCGTACTGGATACCGCAAACCGAGTCGAGAGCTTCACGGCGGAAAATGGCATTTGTCCCAGCAAATGAAGCACAGTCGAATCCATCCATACCAGTCTGCGCCGAATCAAAAAACGTCGAGTTACGGTGACCGCACGGGTCACCGAGGCGCAACTGCAGGCAGTCCTCAAAGTACTGAGGTGTCTGCACATAACCAACCTGGTTCACCGAAACGTGGTCCGAATAATCATCAGCTGAAACACCCACAAACGGGTTGCTGCTACGTCGGCTCACCGCACGATTGCACTTGCGACACAACCCGTTTGCTTGATTGATCTTGCTGCCACAGCTAGCACACATCATGCGTTCCGACATGGTATTTTGCGTCTGACGACGGTGAACACTCGACTTGACGTGTCCCGATGCATTGTAGCAGTCCTTCGAGCAGTACATGATCTGGGCTTCCGGCACTCCGGCTGACTGACACAGTGCACAACAAATCTTGCCAATGTCACCACAGCCAGGAGCACAGCACCGTGTAATCTTAGAGTTCTGTGGTGCATCAAAAAAGAACGGAAGTGTCGCTTGAATAAACATCTCGTGGGGCTTCATGTCGTTATCCAGAATGATAGCGTAGCGACCACAAGCTCCTTCATTGTACAATACATTATTAATGTTTCCAGCCTTTGAGTGGTGTACAGGTGGCTTAATACGTCCAACAAACGTCAGCTTGGGCAGCCCGTGATAATGGTAATCATCACGGACCGAGCCAACAGCACAATCAATACGGTTCACAATCCGTGGATTCGCATCCGTCGGCATCTTTACAGTCGTGTGTTCTTTGCGCCACTCATCCACCTCCAGCTCATACGACTCACACACACGATCGTACATGAATTGAGCCACTTCGTGACGAACATCACCAGCATCTTCAATCACACCAGTATTAACACTGACTTTAGGTACTTGACTACCCGCTTCCCACTTGGATTTACAATATCCATCGTCACAGATCCAGACATGAAAAAGATGAGGTGGATAATCCAAATTCATAATCTTCTCCAGTGTTGCAATGGTATCATCTGCTGGTTCAGCATAATGACACAACATTATATCAACCGTCGGCCACTAGAAAAAAAGGAAACAAAATTAGCATAGAAAACCTCATTTTCGTATCACAAAAAACAAAGAAAAATTAAGGTAAATTTTACCTTTTCCGGTGGAAAATGTGGTTCAAAATCACGAAGATACCGAGCTCCACGACGCACGGGTCGCCACATTCCCAAGTAGTATAGAAACCCCAACGAAATACTGATAAACTCGGAAAAGTAAAAGAGAAAGTACGAGACCCAATCCCCAATATGAGGTTCTTTGAAACATCGTACCGTCTCAATCCCACCTGACCAGTGGTACCACTGTGGAGGATCCCACATGCCATTAAATGGTTTGTCACCACATTGAAGTGTCTCAGCATAAAGCAATTGAATTTCATCACATGTTTCCGTCTTGTATTTCACATCACAGGGTTCAATACCTAATGGAAACCACAGAACAATCCCTGCTAGCTCAATAAGAGCTGTAATGACAAAGATTACATACCAAAAACGATAACTAAATCGTCCTTTCATTTCATAGACACGAACATTTGGAAGATCGCGTTTCACGACATTTCCAGAACCAGCTGACATCACAGTAAATTCCAAGGCATCAAACCACATGGTAAAATCCTGGTCTGTCTCTGGACACATGAGCCATGCTCGATGACGAGTATGAATGACAATGCCTCGTGCTGGTAAATCAAGACGTTCACTCTGTTCCAATTTAAACGCATCGCGTAAATCCACTGCTCCAATCACTAATTCCCCATTCCGTGAATTGAAATATTTGCGACAATCGACATCATTCTGAAAATAGTATATTTTTGCCCCTTCAAGTGCAAAATACCGTTTGCGCCAACTTTTTGCCACCGGACCTTTAAATTTCCGACTCCCTTGTTTATGCATCCATCCATGAACTGTGATTGTTCCGACATTATCATGTTCTTTGGCTTTTGTGAGTTCACTGATTGCATTTTGGGCATCCATGGATGACTGAGAGAGACGTTGCTTGCTTTTTGCGGCAGAGGAAGACAATTGTTGATGATATTGTAAGCCCAAGACAGGCGTATGATCAAATTGACTGTCTTCTGGCAGCGTACCGAGGTCAGGAGGATGTCGATTGGCCATGAATTAGAAAGAGGGAGGTGGAGGTATCTGATTGGTTGAGACACACAGAGGAAGGTAGCTGAGCTGACTGACCAACACTCTGATGTACAATGGAACTGTGAGGAACGAATGAAACTGATGCAAGCGGCTGCGTGGCGTTCGTCTCTCTCTCCCCTGGCTACTTTTACACTGGGATATTGTATAGGGATAACAATAGCGATCAGACGACATGTACGCCAGTGTGACGTAGACGGGGAACAAGTTTTTTTCTCGGGCGTTACGACAGCACACGGATCTTGAGTTTGGATAAACAATATTTAATATAACAGGTCTAAAAAAATCTTTCAACTAAGCTATTGTGATATAAAAACTTACTAAGTAGCCAGGTCGGATATCAGAGGGTATTAGTTGTGCAAGCAAGAGACTCTTGGGACAAGGACAAGGGTCAGTGATGTGAGGGTGGCACACGACGAGACGGAATACGTAAACAACATCACGTTATAATCGAGGAGGGAGGACATTTTAAGCTTCTTCGTTGCAAGACATTTAGTGAAAAACAACTTGAAGTATAAAACTGAGAACTGGACATGTTGTTGCTCGAAAGTTTGCCATGCAGTCACTACTTTTGACAAAGTTTGCGAATAATTACGATACGAGGTGCTTATTGATGCGATCAAGTAGAAAAATGACCTAGAATATTCCCAAAAAAAGAAAATGACAATTGAGACAAGGCGTCTAAATATAAATCTAAACCTATATACGGCGTCTTTATCGTACTTCTGTCCGTCATTATGTTAACGTATTAAAGACAAATGTGAGCGAGTCTCTCATGCCAGAATGACAAATGTCCTTCCACTTGTCTAGTTGCACGGATCAAGTCAAAATCAAATTCTTGGTCTCTAGTAAAACGAGTTCAATTCACACTTAGCTCCGGGTCCATCCATACAACACACCATTAATTTACACTCAGTTTGTACCCTTTCGACATGAGTGACAATTTGCCATGGTCCTTATATCATCAATACGTGACGCTACATCCGGCGTCACTTCATGCGCAATTGCATCTCCATAGACTTTATCGTGGGTGACATAAAGTACAAACCACGTGAGAATTTAATGCCGTGCAAAATACCAGCAACTACTTGTGTCTGCTGCTATACTCGTGGAGTGTGACCGACGTCTTTTAACGAAACGCCCTGTAATTCCATGGTCGTAAACCGCTGCAACTCTTGCAACACGAATTGAATCGAAGCATCTATCTGCCAAACTGTCATCAAACCCATCACTCCTTCCTGATCTTTCTCACGTGTACGGAAAATCTCATCTTCTCAACGAATAGTACAGATTCCCGCGGTCCCGCTTCTTCTCATTGATTGACTTCGATAATTTGAGGCAAGTGCCACTCAAAGTCTCGTGCGATGCTCAAGAAATGAAGTAGAACAAGTCGCAGATTTTACACCTCGATCTTGCTCACGTCGCTGTCGTGACCGTCCTTTCAGCCAAGTCCGCACAACAAAAGCTCGCTGCTCTTTCTCCGTCGAGTACTTGCTGAAGTCTCCTAAATGCGCGTTCACTGTCTAATTGCAGTCGTAGGCTCACTAACAATTAGGCGGTGAACGCGATAACCCGCATGAGTTGTAGCTCGTGTACTCAAAGCAGCAAACACTGCGTGTCCGGCGTTGTTCTTCATATTGCTACCGTCTTGCAAGTCATATGACTCAGCACCACGAGGGACGGCACTTGGGCCAGGATTATTTCTCGAGCTCGTCCGCGTCTTTAGCTAACTGCTTCAAGTTCGTTGTGTCATTTATCGTATCATACGCGCATTTGACACAGGCCACCTCCACCAACTTGCGGACCTCGCGGTATTTGGGTTTTACGTTCAATGTCGATGTCCAATTAATGAATGCCTGCACAGAAATGACTATTTTCTTGTGCGTTGTAGGGCAAAAAGCACGTTTGATGTCTCTCATGGCGACTTCATGTTGCGCGTGTCCTTCTAAGTCGGTCTCTTTGTTAGGCCCTTATCGGTCAATTGGAAAAATGCAGAACTCCAGTGTTTTGCAATGCAACTTGCAATCAAAGTAGAAATTCACAACTACCAGCAAGTGATCCAAATATTTGCAATGACCGCAACAATACACCAGATGCTGGTGAACCTTCACTCCGTCTGAAATCATATTGTCTTTTGCCCAGTCACAACCAAGACATCTAGAATATCATGTCAGGTGCAACTTCATGCAACGTAGAGGATGCACGTGCATTTTGTTTACAAGTGCGCTTGCTATGTCCTGTCAGGCCGCAAGTCGAACATTGCCGTTTTTCTTGCGCATCCTCACTGTCTAACAACAAACTGGTATTACCATTCAGTAGGACACTTGCAACTGCAGGCATCATCAACACCTCATCATTCTCAGAAAAAGGCTTCGATTTGGGGCGTCCACGCTTGCGGGCCACGACGGGAGCTCTTACTGCATGATTTTCTTGTAACTCAGAGTCCAGCAGTAACTCTATGCTGCCCGTACGTTGAGTGTCATATTGCTCCGCGAAGGTCGTGACCCTAAAACACGCATCCATAAAATTCTCTTCTTCACTCGAACGCTTAAAAAATGCTAGCGCAGCTAAGAAGTGGCGGCAGGGCACGCCCATCTGCAGTAAATATGCACATGAGCACACGCATTGGTTCAAGTCCACGCGATAGCGTCGAGGCGGGAACGAGCGCGATTCTGTCACAAATGTAATACCATCGTTCGACGGCTGGACGACCTGAAAATTGGCCGCATCACGCTGTTCCGTAAGTAATTTTTCCGCATATTTGGTAAAAGTTTTACCCTCCTCAATCCATTTTTTAGCATGTACACTTTGGTTGTAAGCGTGTGTCATGAACTTTTCCATATAATGCTGCATCAAGTCGTATGGAGCAAGACAAAGCACCGTCTTGTTGTCTTCCATCGAAAAAAGCGTAGAATTCCAACCGTAAAGCTTAACCTTTTGTGCCACACAAAACAGTGTCCATGTATGGGGATCGAGATTTCGTAAGTAACTTTCTGCTGCTGGACATATCAACCCAATCATTCCGAGACACGAAGTAAATTCGGCTTCACTTTCAGCAGCTTGTGCTCGCCAAATTAAATCTTCCACTTGGACTGTCACCAAATCCTTGATGATCACTTTTAAATTCAAAATAATATGTTGTGTGCATTGTCTAATGGTCAATTTCCGTCCTTCTGCAGCTGACATTAATGTTCTTGTTCTATCTGCAATAATTATTCCTCTAGACAAATTCAGCTGTGCTTGTTGACAATTTGTCAAGAACCATTTCCAATTTTCCATATCTGCTTGTGGTGCTACTGCAACACATAATGGAATTATTTGATTATTGCCATCTTTGCCCAAGATAATAAACATTTGGCCACAATAATTCATACTTGTTAAAGATGCTGTCTCCATTCCAAAAAGTGGTTGTAATCCTTTTGTTTGCTGATATTCCCTTATAAAGGGATGTGCTACAAATGCTCTTTGAAATATCCCCGATGTCTCGTCTGTCTCAAAGGCTATATGAGTTCCAGGATTTTTCGTTTGAAAACCTGTTAATAAACTTTCAAGTCGCTGAAATCCTTTTGTAAATTCTCCGGCTGCTAAATGTAAAATTCGGTCGCGTACTCGATATGCTTTTCGAGAGGATATTAATTCACCACTGGATTGGTGCAATTGTTCTTGTAGCTGTTTCACACTGGCTACATTAGTGGGTGTCCCATTTTCACCCAATAGAACGTCAGCAGCTTGGCGCACCGTAAGTTTGGGGGCACTAATACAATCCACCGAATGTTGTGCAAAAAACGAACTGACAAAAAAATGCGAACTTTGCGCACTGCGACTCTTGAGCAACTTAATACGAAAGTTGCACGGATGTAACCGACTGGCGCAAACATATTCGTATTGCGCACCCCCAGATTTTTTCTTATTGATAACAAGACGTTTACCTTGAGCTTTGGCAAAATCCTGGAAAAAAATGGTTGCACTTGGACGATCTGAAAATGTCAAGCCACGGCGTAAAGTCAACGAGCGTTTGTCCACTGTCGTTACGGTCACGCCTGGCGCATCCGCTGATATCTTGACGCTACGAGGCATGATAAAGATAGAGAAATAGAGTGATGCTACTTAATCGTTACTTTTGAAAGAGAGGAATCTCTCTTTCTGATTGGATATAAAGACCGAGACAAACAGACTTTTTTAAAACCTACGATTGAAAGCGAATACATTTTTAGCGGAAATAGCGCGTATTATCCTGCATCAGATGTCGATAAATTTTGGAAGGTGGGCTAGTTAACAAAAAAATACTAGATAAATAGCGCTCTCCGAAGAGTTATGTGTATTTTAAATTGTAATACAAAACTGGCTAACAAAAAAAAATTATGCTGGACGCTGGACGGCAATGATGGCTACACGAATACCACGCTCAACTTTGACCCTATGATATTACGTTAATCTTTACTACAACAGAGTGCACATACACAATTGACGCTTACATCATTCATTACCTATGATCTCTTTTACGAACTTCACTATTGGGTATGATCGCATGGTGTGGTTTGCTAATTGTACTCAAGATTAGGACTTGAGGATTGTCGTCTACTAGTACTTTTGCATGCTCTTGCAAGCGGCACTTACTTCTTTTGCTAAATGTGCTGTGTGACCTCGTTACAACTGGTAGTATTTGTTGAAAACCCGCGCCTACGCGGACAATCGTACATCGACATCGCGAAAGAAGAAAAAAGTCCTCAGACAGCGATGAATAAATGTCGTTACGAGAAGATACACTCGATCCGACATTGCAGCTTCTTCTGTCCGACCACTTTTAGCGTAGGGTGCAGATGACAAGCTCACTTTGACAAAAGTAAGTGTTCAGATCAATTGTTAACTTTTTACCCAATATTATATTCAGTCTGCTCGATATGAAACACTACATTCATCTTTATATTGCCAAGTTGATTTCGTGAGTGGCACTATAAAACGACCTGCATCAACGGCGTAACTTTTGCTACCAACAACAGTCAAGACGGCATGGGCTGCGCTGGAAATGACAACTCACAATCTTGCAGTTGAGTAGTCATCGGGTGCTTGCAGTTTGAGCACTCAAGCGCTTGATTATCCTGGCATTCTTGAAATTCGAGCTTGGTGACTTTGCAGCAAAATGCAAAGTGATGAGGCTGAATGATCGGCTTAAATCGATATTATATCCTGGTATGACAGGATCAATTGAATATGAGGCAGCGTAGCGTGCATGTTAGAAAGTAAGAATTGAGTTAAATGAAATGGCTCGTATGTTGACGCATGCCAAAAGCTATTCGGCGGCCTCATCCGTGGCTTCGATAAAACAATTTTGTCTGCAACTGACTTACTCGACACAACAGTCAGATAGAATACAAAGAATAGCATCAATGCTCAAACCGTTCCGATATTACGGACTATCGTTCGGATCTGTCACCTTCGATACCATTGACACATTCCAATGTAAGCAAGGGACAATTTTACGTAAGAAAATGTTCAGTCAATTGAAAATAACGACGAAGGCGCACGGCTTGGAGCACGTCGCTGGCTCGCTTTATAGGCTACAATACCGCTTCTGCTCTCTGCATGCATTACCTGGCCGTGTCTTTATCCTCTTCGGTTGATCATCATCTGAGTCTTCGTGACAGTCGACTAAGACGCATCAGATCCTCCTCCTGGTTCTGTGCCCTGGGCCACCTGAAGGTTGCCTGCGTAGTAGACCTGCCATAGCTGCACGAACACCACAATGTAGACCACTAGCAGCGAGCCAAACACATTCGCCGTAAATGTAGCGGCAGTGTGATCCCAGCCACAGTACTCCGTGATACTCATCTTAACCATGGGGTAAAACTGGCTCATGACGAAGAAGCCAAAGAACATGGAAGACACGTAATTCCATGGATTCGTCGCGTTCTCATACTCAAAAAAGCGAATGAGCGCCACCAGCTGACTGAACAGCAGTGTAAAAAAGAACAGCACGTTCGGAATTTCTGTCCACGATGTCTTCTGACCGGCACCCGTGTTTGCCCACGACTTGTCCTTGCCCGTCAATCGCGCCTGAACGGCTTCAAAGATAGCCATCATCGTGATGAACGAGAAGGAGAACCATGTCTGTTGCGCGCGCCACACGTCATTATTGTCGACAGCGCGATTAGCCAGTAGATTCAGCACCCAACGGCAGAACGTCACGGGTAAGAAAGAGTACAGGAACTTGGTACCACGAGCGTAGATCGGAGCGTCACCCGTGCACAAGTAGTAGACAGCGATCGACACGTAACACAAGGCAGGGATTGAGCCGAACGGGTACAGCACCGAATCGTAGAAGAACATCTTACGTGGAAACGTTAAAGATGGCTTTGGGTCCGGGGCAGGCACGCGTGGCGGGCGCCAGTCCGGGTCAACCTCACTTTCATTCTTCATCAGCAAAATCTGCACAGCACCCTTAGCCCAACGCTTCTTTTGGCCCATGGCAGCAGCCACCGTTTCAGGCACCGCACCTTCACACAGACGAATGCGATCCTTGGCATCACCTTCGAAATCTTTGCGAAAGTACACCGAATCCCAACCAGAAGTATGCAGCACATTACCCGTGAAAGCATCTTCCGTCTGGGTACCATACTGAATGCCACCGATCGAGTCAAAGGCCTGGCGACGGAAAACAGCGTTTGTACCGGCAAAAGCTGCCGAGTCAAATCCATCACGACCACACTGTACGGCGTCAAAGAAAATAGTATTCTTGTGACCACATGGATCGCCCATGATCGTCAGTTGCGGCGTGTCTTCAAAGTACTGGGGAGTCTGCACATATGCAACCTGGTTCCAGGAAATGTCATCGCTGTATTGGCGGCCTCCGCCGTCAACAGCCTCGCCCTCCGAAAAGAAGAACGGCAGCACGGCAAGCAGAAACTTTGGATGCGGCTTCATATCGTTATCCAGAATCAACAGATACTTGCCATCAGCACCTTCGTTAAACAAAGCGTTGTTAATGTTACCAGCCTTGGAGTGATGTGTTTCGGGCTTCATGCGACCAATGAAAGTAACACGCGGAATACCGCGGTCTCGGTAATCGTAGTCATCCGAAAGCGAACCGACAGCACAGTCACGACGCTGCACACCCTTGCCTCCCTCCTTGCGGAGTTCACGAACAGAACTGTGCTGGCGACGCCACGTCTTCAAGCTCTGGTCGTCCTGCACAGGACCGACAATACGCTCGTGCATGAGACGTGCGAGATCGCCGCGTAAATCACCACAGATCTCAATCACCTTCGTGTTCACCGTTACCTTGAAGTGGTTGTTTGCATCCCACACAGACTTGGTGTAACCATCATCAAGAACAAAAATGTGAAGCAGCTCCGGGGGATATTGCATTGCCAAACAATTCTTCAGTGTCTGCATTGAATCCGTAACAGGTTCCATGTAATGACACAAGAAAATGTCGACCGTAGGCCACTGCTCTTTCGGAATTGGCGGCTTAAAGTCGTTCATGTACCGAGCACCGCGACGAATCGGGCGCCACATACTGAAATTGAAAAGCAGTCCCAGGAAGAAATTGAGAAACTCACTAAAGATCATCATTGCGTACATGATCCATGACATGAACGGCACGTTCCTAATGCAGTATCCATCACCAGAATTGGCGTCAAAGTTCACCGTTGAACTGAAGCAGCCTCCGGTCTCACTGACGGGCAACGCACTGCAAGGCAGCGTAGGACGAGCGTGGTCGCAAAAGTATTGCTGTGGGTACATTGTTGTCAAGTAGTACAGCCAGACAATACCAGTGCAAGCCGTGCCGAAGTAGAAAACGTGGAACATACCACTGCCCGACATCTTGTACTTGCGAATATTGGGTGTTTCAACGGGCTCAGCAGCGCGATTTGCAATAGAGTACGTCGACATAGCAAACGATCGAAACGAAGGCTCGTAATAGTTGCGAACACCAGCAATGGAATCATTGTACTGGCTCATCTTGCCGTCAGGGCCTTGCACGCCGGAATCCATAAAACGGATGCTTCGACCATTGTCCTTCATGCTGACACCACCTTCTTTCGCGTGCTTGGGGTCAACAAAAGACGTCGTGCTAAGGAACGTCCGGTGTGGAACTTGCTGCCAGCGATCAGGCGCTTGACTCTTGTTGTTCATTGAGACTGACGGCATCTGCGCCTGCGAGATGCTGACGTCAGGGTTTACATCGTCCGAAGGCATGGCCTCACCACACTCAGTACAAAATGCAGTACCACTGGGCACCGTTGCGAAACAATTTTCACATACAAGACGAACGCGTTCGGTCATGACTTGAGCAGGAAGCGTCGCGCCCGTCGGTAGCTCCGGCATCTGTTCCTCGACGGGACCAAGCTGTGCGTGTGCGCCGACGCGGTTATAACACATGAGTCCCCAGCGCATAGAGAGCTGGTTGAGTCCGCCAATCACGACGACAATGGCCCAAATTACAAACATGAGCGTCTGAGAGCCTGCATCCATGCCTTTTAAAGCGGCCTTACCACCTTCTTGAATAGATAGGTAGGCAACATTGGACAGTACTGCAGCTGAGTCGATGAAACGGGAGATACCATCTGCTGCCATCCAACCACCGGTAATGGATGAGAAGACGACGTATTTAAAGCGATGATTTTCCAACTCAATCGTCTTGGAATTGGAGCAACACACGAGCTCAAAAATAATCATAAATGCAATGACAAATTCCTGTCGAGCAAGTTGATTGTCTTCCGGGAAGACAGTAATACCATTAAAGGCATCAAAGAGTAAAAGGTACGAGGCGATAACGCCACCTGTGATAAGGATGAGAATGTACGGTCCAAAAAGTGTCACAAAGCCCACGATAAGGGAGACAAGGAAACCGGCTCCACCACCAGCAGCAACGGCAACCCATTCATTTGTATCAGTGAGGGAAACGATGGCAGAAAAGGCAACGACAAAGCCCCTGCAAAATGATATCATGTTGTAAAGTCAGTAAAAAAAAGACAGAAAATGAATACAAGAGTGATGGTCGTACATGGCAAAGGCTGACACGAACTGCGTTGTTACGAAGAGGGAACGGGCGCCGAGGGAAAGCGATGACCAGCCACCGCAAGACAGCGACAACCCACCCAAAATGCCCACGACGGAGGCGATAACGCCCGCGCCGGTAAGGCTCATGGTGCTAAAGAGCCGCTGCTATTCGAGGGAGGGAGTGTTGGTGGCTTGTTTCCGTTTACAAAGGAAAGGGTAAAGCGCCTTAGTGCGGAAGAGCGACAGGGGGACGATCAGTCAGCTAAAGCGCGCTTTTGGTCAGCTGCAGAGTCAACACAAAACCAGAAATGAGCTCTCACACTTGCTTGGTTTCCCCTTGCCAGGTGTTTTCTTCTTCGTGGGGGAGAACGAATGAATTCTCTGACGTGCGATCGAATTGATAAATTACCGTCATTTATCGAGAATATCCATATGGAAAAAAAGACAGAAGGTAAGAGACAGAACATTAACTGGCTTCATGCGACTCAGGATCGGCAGGGAGTTTCATCATTTTCGGTCTCTCCCGTAAAGATGGACATTTTCAGACTGATTCGGTTGTGATATGCAAAACACGTGTAGTATTTTAATTATTAATAGTGAGAGTAGGGCGGCGGCGATAGTTGTAGACATGCTCAGTCGTTTTACTGCCTGGGCGGTTCCTTTCCTATCAGCGTTTTTATAATAGACATTAATCTGACGATAACACGAGGCGCGCGCCGCCTCGCGGAAGAGACGCACGCACGTACGCACGCATGTGACCAAGATCCATCCACAATGGACTACCATTGTGCAAACACATGGAATTTCATGTCACGTGGTACAGCTGCAACCCTGTGGGCACGTGTGATCCTAAAGAATTGATGCTTGCTAGCTCGCCAGCTGACAACGGCGGTGGGTAGCCAGAGTCTTATGACATCAAGTCGAACTTTTTACCTTGAAGATAATATAGAGTAGATTACATGCATGGGTAAATGGGGCAGAGTACCTCGTGGTCGTAACGCGACATCTCGTCGTTCGTGCGAGCTCGACGAGCGACAGCAACCCCGGTCCATTTTCGCGTAGCGCGACGGCCTGACGCGAGTCAACGAGCTCGAGCTGCTTCAGTGAGCGCAGCCAATAGCAATAACAGCCAGCCATTCGACGTGATTGCACTACGTCAGCGCTCGTCGTGCCGCAGGAATCATCCACGCTGAGGGACATTTGGATGCTCCAATCTTTGTCGCCAAACATGACATGGTCTAAGTCTTATAGGATTCGACTCCAGCTGTTTGATCACGTTACATTAAATTTAGCTTACCTACACTACCATGCTTTGAATCGCTCGAGAATGCTCATCACGACTAGATGTGTACGTCGAGGACGATGATCAGGACGGAAACAGCTCCTGAGGCAAAAACTGTCACATCGGAGGGTTCCACTCTCCCGTAAATTTCGTAGTGGATTGTGAAAATTTTACGTGACGAGGTGAACCGTCGCTGACCACGTTGGTGTGAACTGACTCGTCATTTATCGGTATTTTACGAGCTTGCAACCGCCGCGTCATTTAGCTGCCTTCCCACTCTGTATTTTTCTTTAGGCGCAGTCGAAAGACGCAAGCGATTGAAGCTCTTTGAACTACCTTTTTGACGGCGGTCTCTCTTCGTCCTCTTTTCCTTTAAATAAAGAGAACGATCGATTTCCATGACAATGTCATCCGCTCGCGGGTTTTTCTTGTTTTTGTTTTTGCAAATAACGTGGCAAAACGTGCATGCAAAGAATTACTTTAACCAATCGGCGGGTTATGTGATTGAAATCAATACGGACGACTGGAGTAACTACGATGCCAATGGAGGGTGTGTCACATGTCCTTATACATGTGTCTCTCCTACTGAGAGCTACGATGGGACGCCCATTAACGCCACAAACACGACGCAGACAGCAAGTTTGCCAAGTATCTACACAGCCGTCCGTTCAAACGGCTGTTGCTATGCATCGGATTCAATAACGCAGCCTTCATGTGCTACAGAAGCCAGTCCTGCTAGTGCAGAGAATTGTGGCTTTCTGTACGGTCCAACGCTTGAATGGCGCATTAATAATGCTTTGAAACCACTTACAGACAGTGTCACGGCCATTTTATTTGCGTCGACAGACTGTGAGAATTTTTGGGCAGTCGGGAAACAAGATATTCGCTACACACAAAATACGAGAAGCATCAAAGGCTCAAAGATGATTCAACATGGCTGTTATGGGGACCCAGGAGGTGTTCCGATGGTACTTAGTGGCTGTCTTACCAGTTCATTGGAGTATGCCAAATCCAAGTCATATACGTGGAAGAACTTGGCGGAAAAGTGCGAAGGTCTTGCTGGTCGCTGCGTCATTACGAACGCTGTGTGGGAAGAACATTTAGAGTGTTGTACATCACGTACAGGATTGGGGTCCGACTGGGACACGACGTATAAAATGTATACGAAGACACCATCGGAGACGACAAAGTTGGGTGGACCGGCCATCACAGCTATTGTGATTGGCGGGGTGGCACTCCTTATGTTCCTCATCCATTTTGGAGCCAAAGTCCGGGAACGTGCTCGTCAGACGGCGTTGATGCGTGAACAAGAAGCAACGGACGACTACGAGGAAATTATGACGCCACTTACGGCGGCAGACAAACAGCCAGTGGCTTTGCAACGTCCGATTGGTCCAGCCAGTCTGGAAGTTTCACTTCATGAAGGTGACCAGATCTACAGCAAGAAAGACGATGAATTGCTCTTTGAAGGCGACATGTACTAGTAGGTTTGATCATTTCGTTGCTTTTGGGACAGTGCAAATGTCGTTTGAAACTGCTACTTGTCTTGCTTAAAAATTCCATTTGAGGTGTCTATAAAATGGTTGGGTTACATGTCATTGTTCGGTGCAACGTGTTGTTGTTGCCCAAGCACAGATAGTGCTTGTGTATCCTATTGATACACAAGGAAGGACAGTATGTTGTCGTCTATGAAGTGGCCATGTGCTTACAGCGCCAACTCGCCACCGACAAACAAAAAAAGAAGGAAAGTGGCGGTTGATGGTACGTACGAACGCTTTTGATGTTTCATTGAGCGCAAGCAGGACTTGATGTTCTTGTGCTCGAAAGTAGTTACGTTCGGCGACGGATACTGCTCTACATTTAGCGGCAGTGCCTTGTGATGGTCGAAGCCACGGACCAAGCGTCACCAGAATGTATCTTAAAATGATGCCCATAATTTGCCTGTATACGTTGTCCTCAGTTTATTTTTCAGGTACTGAAACAAATGATCGAGTCAAGCGACTACTTGATAACCGTGAACGGGCTGTCTCAGTCGAAAACTAAAGCATCTGCGTCTTATGAGTTGACGGTAGCACGACTGACAATTCTCTGCTTTATCATTTCGTTTGGGCATACTACGCACTGAGCCTCTGAAAAAAAAGAGTTATCATTATAGTTGTTGACCTCTACCAGTCATCGCGTCTAATAGGAGCTAACGGTTGTCAGGCATTCCTTAATACGTATCGAGTGTTCGCGTAGAAACATAAAGGTCAGCCTGCTCATTTACTACTTGGTCGAATAGTGCAGCTTAACGTGCAGCTATCATTACTGATCCGTATTAGTTTTTTATACTACTTGGAGACTTGTTCATTGCAAAAAAATTGCCGATGAAAGCAGCGCACGCAGACTGCTACAAGTTCTGAAGTTTCAGGTGCATTTTTGACGCTATTTGCTTCCTCTACGCTTATTAAAGAAGGCTGTCGATAAAGCTGGTCTGGCAGGGCCGTCGTTGGTAAAAGTGTCATCACTGGTCAAGATTTGTGGAAGCTATCAACATGACGATTACGTTTTCTACAAACCCACGGTGGTCCTTCAGAACTGCAGCACGTGATGAGGATGCAGCCGAGCTAAATATGCTAGTGTGCATGAAGGTAGTGACATCTCTAGGTTCTATGACTTAACGATCTCCGATGTGGCAACGATCGCCCGGAGTGCTTGAAGTGCATGAAGATAGCGCTGGACAATTACATTGCTTGCGGTCTAGGACACAATATGTTGTTCTTGCAGCATACCCTCGCTTTGCAAATGACAAGACCACTATGAAAGTGGTGGATGAGAAAGAGTACCCGGAGTATTTGATAGTGTCCAGCTGAACATCGCCCGAGATCGAGGACCTCCGAGTTGGCAGCGCAATCATGCACCTGAAGAAGGCTGGTAGTAGCGGCCAGATCTCTGCCGCATTCAGTCAGCTCCTGTTGAAGGTTCGCATTGTTCGACTCTCTCAGTAAAGCTGCTCGGGTCATTGTACTGCTCACGTGGAAGTAGCGGCCACTCCATTATATGAGCGATCGAGTGCCCCACAGCTCCATAATGTTTCACGATGGACGCAAATACTACAATAACATCGCTGAGGGTCCGTGTGATCGGCCCATGCAGCATGGTGGAAGCGCTCAAGTGCGAATATCCGAGCGAGAGAAAACAAACACTTGCTTCCGTTAGTGCTGTGGCACTGATGCGGTGATGGTGATCGCTATAGATGGTATGGTTTTGAGCGAGGTCGATGCAAAGATAAAGGCAGCGAAGAAGGAGCGAGCTTTGCTGCCAAAGACCCTAGCAATGACCTAAGCGTGACGCTCAAAGCAAGATTAATGATTGTAAAAGAGAGCGACATCAGTAGTGGGTTCATGCATTGAAAGAGAGGCAGACTATGCTACTGGCAAGAGGTTTGCTACAGAACGCTTAGTTCATTTCGCAAAATGCTTACATGGTCTTGAGCATCTTATGACGTCCGAATTGCCTTTTCCAAGCAGAGTTATGTAAAGTCCAGCTGCTAACCATGAACATCGAAATTGCTGTCTAATTCAGCTCCAGGTGCGGAAACCTTGCTAAGATCTTCCTGTGGTCGGCTCGAATCAAGCATCTTTTGCAGTTCCTTAGCAGTTTGTCTCACCTTCCAATTGTCAACCTCCAAACCCTTAGCTAGACTATTGCGTAATGCACTATCGCTTTTGGAATGGTGACGTAAGGTTAATAACATTGCCTCATAAGGCGCCTTCAAAACAACATTCTCAGCCTCCTCAGCCTTCCTAGCCGCCGCATCAGCCGCTTTCTTTGCCTCGCTGGCCGCCGCATTAGCTTCTTCAGCCGCCTCGTCAGCCGCTTTCTGAGCCTCTTCAGCCACCGCATCAGCCTCTTCAGCCGCCTTCTTAGCCGTATAATTCAACTTCGCTCTATCCGCCGCCTCCTTAGTCGCATACTTTTCTGCCTTTATGAAATACCTCTCGACAAAATCCAGCCACAGCAACATTCGTGGGCTTTCAAACAGTCCGTTTTCCAGTTTTAAAAGCATAAAAACCTCGTCCACACTTTTTTTTCAGTGTCGAACCACCTCCAAATTAGTCTCGCTATCAGAATTTGGGCATTAGATCGCGTAGAGGGATCCTTTGTTTCAGCAACAAGAATATCAGCCCATGCAGCATTTTTACCGTAATGAGCTATCAGAGTTGACAAGATTACATCACTTGCCTCGTCGGGTTTTCCCTCGTATCTTTGCCTGACGAAGGTGACCCACTGTTTATAAAATTGGTTTTTATACAGTCCATTTTCAATCTGATCCAACTCCAAAAGCGTAAAAAGCGCTTCCTCTCCTTCCTTCCCCATTGGGAGCTGCAACTGTAGCAGGTCGTAGGCGATTTTTTTCACACTGTCAGTCCTCGTTCCATCAACTAGAAATTTGGCCCAAGCTTTGTTGTCCGTGTAAAATTCTCGAAAAGCCGTCAGCAGTTCCTTAGTTACCGCTGTGGGGTCGTTTGGGTGTTTAAGCTTGACATAAGCGAGCAACTGCGAAAAGAGTGGATTTATAAAAGGATTTTGATTGTCCTGTGTCTTATCCAGCTCCAAAATCTTCAAGACGTCTTTCACCGTTTTCATATCCCACTTTTTGAGCTGCGCCACTTGCAGGGCTGCAGCGAGATCAGCGATGTGTTTATCACCACTGCGCCACTTTCCAAGATAGAAAAGTGTAGCCAAATTAGCACCGTCACCGTAATGAGCTGCCAGAGTCGCAAAAATTGCCTCAGTCGTTGCTTCGGGTTTTTCTGATTTTCTTTTGTAAACAAAATTGACCCACTTCTTAAAGCTTGGGTTTCAAACAGTTTGGTTCCTTCCGTGGCGATCTTGTCAAGTTTGTCGATTTTGTCGAGCTTCAAAAGCTTAAACACGTTATCCGACGATTGCCGCATCAGTCGCCACATTCCACTTTGAGTGTTCTCGAAAGTCAATGTCGAAGAAGCGGGCTTCAGGTTGGAAAAGATGTTAGTCAGTTCTGGAATAGAGGAGGTAAAAGCCCTCTCTTCAAAAGTTTCAGTCGTCTCCATGGCCATGGTACGCCTCAAGCGTCGCTTTATCACGGCCGGGGCATGAGACGATTGCAGCGTATTCAACACGACACCCGCAGAAGTTGACTTGGGGGTTGCCACGGTTGGAGATGAGCAAATGACGAGCGCGATCATAACCAACGCGCAGGAAATTCGGACTGCCCTTAACATGGCAACTATCTTGATACTTGACACGGTGAGCTTGGAGCAAAATGGAAAGTGAGGAGGCAGTGGGGAATCCCGAATGCATCCCATCCATAGGTTATCATTCGACGGTTATAACCGTGTGCCGTCTTGGCATCACCCAATTGCTGTTGACGTCTAGTTGTTGTCTTGAACCTGTTTTTTTCTATTCAAGTGCACATTTACGTCGTTTACATGGTGCTTTCGTCACTCGACTGCTTGTGATCTTCACTAGCGCCAGCATCCATCAACATGACATCCAATTGTTGCAGTTGCCTCTTCAGTATCTTCATATTCCACGAATTTGTAAAGTGACGGCATGCTAACGTAAGGGTACATTGCCACGAGGTTTCGGTAGACACTAGCTCTTTGTCATTTCGGTTGTACCCTCGGTCGGGACAATGGGCCTTATAGAGATTCCGTCTCTTACATTGAAGCACATACATCACTTTCTTCTTGTCCGTTTTTGGGTCCTGCATCTCCAGCTAAAGGCAGCCTCATGGCCACAATTTCGTGTCAAATATTTTCTACTCTATGAGTCAGTAGTAGCATCTCTGGTGGAAGCGACATGGGGATTCTGAGTCAGACATCTCGAAAGTATCGAGATGCCGCATTCAGGTCTGGACAACGTACATGGTACGGCGTTATCGATTGAGTGATGGTCAAGTGTAACTTGAATGGGATCACGCTGTGTGGTGTAAATGCAGTGGATAATGTTGAGTCTGAACAAAGATGCTCAGCTCCTGAAACAATGTGTTAGAAATTTGTGAGAAGATCTTCGTTGCTAACCGCGGTAAGATCGCCGCGCGCGTCTTGCAGTGGGCATCACGACGGTGGCTGTGTGCTCGGGGCCCGATGTGAACTGTATGGCCGACATGGCAGACCAGGCGGTATACGTGGGTCCAGCACCTTCGAGTTGTAGCTAATTTCAGCATCTCCATGAACGTGGAAGTCATCAAGGCTTCATGTGCATTCAGGCTACGAAGCTTTGGAGACTGTTGATGTAACGTTCATTTGCTCATGAGGCCATAAGAGGCAACATTGAGTCAAACAACTGGTCAATGGGCGCGGGGATCAACACCACCCCCGGCTTCTTGGAGGAGATTGACATGTCCGAGAAGTTCAGGAAATAGAGTATCCAATTATGGTCAAGGCTAATGCTGGAGGAAGAGATACAGAGATGAGAGTTGTGTATAATGACGAGGAGGTGTATAATCGAAGGAAGAGGCAGCTAGCAGCTTGGAGTCGATATCATGTTATTTCGAGGAAGTATTGAAGACCCACGACAAATTGATCTTCTCGCAGATTCACACGGAAACATCATGCCGCTGTCTGAGAGAGAATGCTCAATTTGATGTCGGAAACCAAACGTGACTGAGAAGCTCCGAGTGTGCTTCTGGGCCTGGAGACGAGAGTAGCTAGCAAATGGTGATATTGGCCCGAAAAGGGCCGTGTAAGTGCCGACATAGTGAGGTTTGCGTGGTAGACGCAAGAGCTTGTATTTCGTAGAGATGAACTCGGCGTTTTCAGGTGGAACACCCCGTGACAGAGCTTATCTCGAGTGTGGACTCCATGGAACAGATGATTTGCGTGGCTGCATGCGTAAGGAATTGCTAGGAGGACCAGTGAAGGAAGATCTACGGTTGGACTATGAAAAGCCGTATGTACGCTGAGGATGGGAGGTGTAGCTGTTTGCCATAATATTGAGCGGCTGGTCCAGTGCGAGGAGACCGTTCACCTTCCAGTGTTGCGCGTGGACCTGAGTGTGCATGAAGGTAGTGACATCTCTAGGTTCTATGACTTAACGATCTCCGATGTGGCAACGATCGCCCGGAGTCCTTGAAGTGGATGAAGATAGCGCTGGACAATTACATTACTTGCGGTCTAGGACACAATATGTTGTTCTTGCAGCAACCCTCACTTTGTAAGCGACAAGATCACTATGAAAGTGGTGGATGAGAAAGCGTACACGGAGTATTTGATAGTGTCCAGCTGAACATCGCCCGAGATCAAGGACCACCAAGTTGTCAGCGCAATCATGCACCTGAAGAAGGCTGGTAGTAGCGGCCAGATCTCTGCCGCATTCAGTCAGCTCCTGTTGAAGGTTCGCATTGTTCGACTCTGTCAGTAAAGATGAACTGGAGTTTTGTGTCGAACCAAGTAGAAGTCGTTTACAGCTTGCGTGTCTTCGCTCCAGGTTTGTCAATGAATGAATTGATTACGCTCGGGAAGCGGATCCACGTCAAGATTGTGGACGCTCAGCTGGTCGTTGGCATCGATGGTCAATTCGAAGAGTCAACTCCAGTAGTGGTTGTGGAAGTTGAGGTGAATGTGGAGGCGAAGCGGCACGATGACACTAGCTATGATGGACAGCAAGTGGAACGTCGTAGTCGATATGGACTGGTCGCTCAATGGGCCGCTCTACAAGCTATCTCATAAAAATTAGGGCGGAGCAGTGGTACGATGTCCAATGCCGACACAATACATTGCAATAGCCAAGGCAGTTCAAGCTCGGCACTTTGTTACACGTATCAAACAATCTCCATATTTAGCCGCAAGAAATACTCGGTAGGCCTCTCGTTGCGGTGCGAAAACATGTAGAAACAAACAGAATCTCATTCAGACCTGACCATGACCAGCTACAAACTTTGCGATCATCCGTGGCACTTTTACTAAAGGTTCATCTACATTGTTTAAAGCTTCGTACTAATTGTCTGCTCATGTTAGAGCCAAAGAAACCAACAGGGAGCGCAGCACTCTTGTATAGAGCAACCTGTTTACCTCGACTGCATCCTCATCACATACAGCAGTTCTGAAGGACCACCGTGGGTTTGTAAAAAAAGTAATAGTCATGTTGATAGCTTCCACAAATCTTGACTAGTGACAAGAAGTAGAGGCAGCAAATAGCGTCGAAATGCACCTGAACGTTAGGACTCGTAGCAGTCAGCGTGCGTTGCTTTCATCTGCAATTTTCTGCAATGAAACAAGTCACCACGTATCAAGAAACTACTATGGATAAGGAACGATGGCTGCACGCTAATCTGAACTGGCGCACTATTCGACCAAGTGGTAAATGCGCAGACTGACCTGAAGGTTGAGTCCAAGATCAAGATTGATGCTTGTAAAAGAGAACGACATCAGTAGTGGGTTCATGCATTGAGAGGGAGGCAGACTATAGTACTGGCAAGAGGTTTGCTACAGAACGCTTAGTTCATTTCGCAAAATGCTTACATGGTCTTGAGCATCTTATGACGTCCGAATTGCCTTTTCCAAGCAGAGTTATGTAAAGTCCAGCTGCTAACCATGAACATCGAAATTGCTGTCTGGTTCAGCTCCAGGTGCGGAAACCTTGCTACGATCTTCCTGTGGTCGGCTTCGTTTTAAGCATCTCTTGCAGTTCCTTAGCAGTTTCTTTCGTAATCCTATCGTAATCCTTCGAAGCCTTAGCTAGACTATTGCTTAATGCAATATCATTTTTGTAATGGAGACGTAAGGTTGATACCATTGGCTCAAGAGTCTCCCTCTTAATCGCCGCAACCGCCTCATCAGCCGCTTTCTTAGCCTCTTCAGCCACCGCAATAGCTTCTATAGCCGCCTTCTTAGCCGTACGATTTAAATCTGATCTATTCGCATTCTTCTTCGCCGTATAGTTCGACTCTGCTTTAGACGCCTTCGCCTTCGCATTATAACTGTCATCTATGAAATACCTCACGCCAAAATCTATCCACATCAACATTCGTGGGCTTTCAAACAGTCCGTTTTCCAGTTTCAAAAGCGTAAAAACCTCGTTCACACTTTTTTTTCAATGTCACGCCACCTCTCGATTTGTCTCATTTCCAGCCTTCTGGCAAAATATTCCATATCGGGAACCTTTTTTCCAGCAATAAGAATATCAGCCCATGCAGCTTTTTCACCAAAATGAGCTGCCAGAGTTGACAAGATTACATCACTTGCCGTGTTGGGAGCGTATAGGTGTATACCGTCGACGATGGCAGCCCACCGCTTGAATAGTGGGCTTTCAAACAGTTCCCCTTCAATCTGATCCAGCCCCAAATGCGTAAAAAGCGTTTTCTCTCCTTCCTCCCACAGTGAGAGCTGCAAATATAGCAGGTCGTAGGCGATATTTTTCACACTGTCAGTCCTCGTTCCATCAACTAAAATTTTGGCCCAAGCTGTGTCGTCCGTGTAAAAATTTCGAAAAGCCGTCAACATTGCCTTAGTTGCCGCTGTGGGGTCGTTTGGATGTTTAAACTTGACATAAGCGGACAACGTCACAAAGAGTGGGTCTAGAAGAGGATTGCCTTGTGTCTTATCCAGCTCCAAAATCTCTAAGACGTCTTCTACCGTTTTCTCGTTCTTATTCCACTTTTCGAGCTGCGCCACTTGCAGGGCTGCAGCGAGACCAGCAAAGGGTTCGGTGCTCGTATCAGGAAAAAGAAATCTGGCCCAAGCTTTGTCGTCCTTGTAAAATTTTCGAAAAGCCGTCAGCATTGCATCAGATGCCGCTGTGGGGTCGTTTGGGTGTTTAAACTTGACATATGCGGACAACGCCACAAAGAGTGGGTCTAGAAGAGGATTGCCTTGTGTCTTATCCAGCTCCAAAATCTCTAAGACGTCTTCTACCGTTTTCTCGTTCTTATTCCACTTTTCGAGCTGCGCCACTTGCAGGGCTGCAGCGAGATCAGCGATGTGTTTATCACCTCTGTGCAACTTTCCAAGTTCGAGAAGTCTAGCCAAATTAGCACCGTCACCGTAATGAGCTGCCAGAGTCGCAAAAATTGCCTCAGTCGTTGCTTCGGGTTTTTCTGATTTTCTTTTGTAAACAAAATTGACCCACTTCTTAAAGCTTGGGTTTTCAAACAGTTTGGTTCCTTCCGTGGCGATCTTGTCAAGTTTGTCGATTTTGTCGAGCTTCAAAAGCTTAAACACGTTATCCGACGATTGCCGCATCAGTCGCCACATTCCACTTTGAGTGTTCTCGAAAGTCAATGTCGAAGAAGCGGGCTTCAGGTTGGAAAAGATGTTAGTCAGTTCTGGAATAGAGGAGGTAAAAGCCCTCTCTTCAAAAGTTTCAGTCGTCTCCATGGCCATGGTACGCCTCAAGCGCCGCTTCATCACGGCCGGAGCATGAGACGATTGCAGCGTATTCAACGCGACGCCCGCAGAAGTTGACTTGGGGGTTGCCACGGTTGGAGATGAGCAAATGACGAGCGCGATCACAACCAGCGTGCAGGAAACTCGGACTGCCCTTAACATGGCAACTATCTTGATACTTGACACGGTGAGCTTGGAGCAAAATGGAAAGTGAGGAGGTAGTGGGGAATCCCGAATGCATGTACAGACCTCCCATCCATAGATTATCATTCGACACGGTTATAACCTGCGGTAGGTTATTAGATTTCGCGTCCATGCTATCGATTCATCGTCGTTTCTAGCAATGTGCCGTCTTGGCATCACATAATTTCTGTTGACGTCTAGTTGTTGTCTTGAACCTGTTTTTGCTATTCAAGTGCACATTTATGTCGTTTACTGTTAATTCATGATGCGTCTTGATCTGCACTTGTGCAAAGGTATTTAAAAGTATGAGTAAAATATATTTAATATTAACTACTTTCGTTCGTTAATACAACAACATGCACTTCAACGGCACTGCAACTTGACCATATAAGTGTCAGACGGCATCTGCCCATCTCGTTCGGTGGTCCCATAATGCAACCGTATCGCCTTGTCCCAACCGTCCAGTTGTTGCTTGGCCGTCCCATCTGTCCAGCTGTTGCCCTGTCTCGTCCTACCCATCGACCGCCGATCAGGTGAGACCGTCCCATGTACATTTGGACCTTGAAAACCTGACAGCTCTCACACACGATCCTTTCACTCCCCAATTTGCGGCGCAGTGATCAAATCTGGTCACGTTGGAGTATAAAAGGAACGGTCTTCACTGGCTTACAAGAGAGAGCGTAATGAGGCCGCCTCACCTACCTCCTCCGGGAGGGGGGATGAAAAGGCCGAGTCGACAACGACGACAGGGAACGGCCCAGCCAACGGACAGGGCGTCGTCGACGACATACTGGACGACAGCTCAAACCGAGGCGCAGTTCTGGCGGCAGTGGCTATTCGGAATGACAACGGCGCCAAGGGTGCCGTGGAACCTGGTGGATCCATCTTCTCCGGCCAGGCTGTATCTCCGGCATCGGAGGTTACGGGCCATGGTGACAGTGAATCTACCACGCCTCATCATCCGGTAGAGCCGAGCAGCAGACATGCGCAACAGAAACAGGCAGTGACAGTGAAGGGTCCACCCGATACAAGGGAGGCTTCATCGACAATAAGGGGGGCAGAGGATCCAAATGACAGAGCTGGAGGATCTGTTGCCGCAACCCAGCCAGCACAAACCGGCAAATCACCAGGATCGCAGGCGCCAATTCCGCTACACGCAACGTCGGCGGAAATGTTTACGGCTCTAGTGGAAGACATGATCGACTCGCCCAATGTGGGACAGGTCGACGCATGGTGCACGACAGTGCGACAGTTGTTTGCGGACATATACAAGACAGTCCCGTGTAAAGCGGAAGCACTGCCTACTGAAAGGAAACGCTTTCCTACCCTGAGCGTAGCGGAGACGGCAAGTCTGCTGGGCCTGTTTGAGAAAGTCTTTGTTAAGGGCAAGGGGAGCTTTGCGGAGTGGAAAATCATGGCAAAGGCCATCACGCATGAATTATTGACTACAAAGTGGGCGTTTAAGGAGATTATCCGCCGTCTATCCAGCAAGCATAAATGGGCTCATGCCCCCGTTCTGAACCAGTGGACTCAGGTAGTCCAACATGGAGAGTCATTACCACGTCGGCAACCGGAGCGCGCCAGTTCTCAGACCTTTGATGATTTCATGTTTAATCCCGAGAAGTTCACATGCGCAGAAATTGAACGATTCAAAGCGATGTGTGCAGCGCCCGCAGCCCCGGCAGGACATCATCAAGTACGGGCAGGTACTGATGATGAATGGGCGATAATCGTCGGGTTGGTTGAAGGCACGGTGGCATGTCGTCGTATTCCTGCCTTTATCAAACAAGTTCTTAAGAGTGAGGAACGGCTACGTCTGTACAGCACGATCCAGGCTCAAGTGGAAGGTGAACTAGTTTTACGGTTGGATAAATCCCGAGCGGTTAAAGCGAACAGGCAGACTACAAAAGCAATTACGGAGGCAATATTGGAGTCGGCGGAACTTGCACGGATCAATCTTCATGCGCTACATCGCATGTTAAGTCAAACGAAGACGATAAGCTACGACCAAGTCACGAAATCGATTCACTTTTATTTCTTTACTAGGGAGACGGCAGAACACCACAAAAAAGTGCGAGTACCGTATTACGGTGGCGTGTACCAGCTCGTCAATGCCCACAGGCCAGAGAAGGGGTCGGTTTGGCTTCGGCAGAAAGGTCTTAATGGGACACCTACCGGGCGACGGGTGGAATACACGGTGCAGTTGCACAACCTTACCCGATTTAATGATATTGGGCGAATTGCGGCCTATTTAAAGGCAAAGATTCCAACGGAGTTTGACATGGAAGATATGGATACGCATACCCCGGATTCTCGGACGTCTACAATTTGGAGAGTCACCTTCAAACTGGCAGGATGCCCGACATTTTTAAATGGGGTGGTTCGGGTACTTTGGTTTGGCACAACCATCATCGTTAAACACCCAAACGTTGGCCACCGCATACAATGCCTGCAGTGCGGAAACCTGTGGCACACCCTAGCGCGATGTCGGTTCACCGACGATCAGTTGCAGGGACCTGGTGGTATTGTGGTGACCGAAGCGGATGTTCTTGATCTCGCCGACTTAGCCAAACCGTTTTCGAGTATAGCAGAAATTAAGGCTATGGCGGTTCAACGGCTGAAGCTCCAAAAGGAAGCGGAAGGGGCGGCCCAAGCAGCTGTAACACCGACTCGGGCCGTCGACGTCACTGAGACTTCTCCAGGGCACACTCTACCAGTGGTTCATGGGACGAGCAGCGCTCCTCAGGCAGAACAAGGAGCTAAGTATGTCCACCTGCAACCGGAACCATCCCCCCCGCGCAGCAACCGTGGCTCACGAAGGCAGACAAAGGGGGGCGATCACAATCACAGTGGGTAAAGAAAATGGTTGCAACTGCTGCCTCAGCATCAACGTCCGGAGTATATCAGGTGCTCATGGAGGACGACGACGAATCGGAAGGAAAAGTTGACACTAAGCGCAATAGCGTGGCGAAACCTTTGAAGTCACCTGTGGTCGATTTGACGACGGAATCTAATAAAGGACATGGCCACACCGAAAGGTCTCGTCTTTCATCCGACGACAAGCACCGAAAATCGGCAGCGACAATGCGCGGCCCAGCACCGGCTGCAACGGGACCCGTTATACTAACGCACAAGAAGAAAGAGAGAAAGACTTTTCAAAAGCTAGTCACCGGGGAGACGGTCACGAAATTTCCATCGCTGCCGATGGGCGCAAGATCGACAACTTCACCAGCAACATTGGCAGAGGTAGAAGTTCAGTTGGGAGTCCGTTCGGTCGTCACGCCGGCGACTGGAAATTGCATGGCTATGGCAATAGTACAGGCGGCAGCAGACGCAACTTTGGACGGACCAGGAAACAGCTAACTGCCAGCCTTAAACGAGGCATCAAATTTTCAGGGCTGTTAGATCTAGAAGGTCAACTCGCCCATGACCATCGAGTGCAGGCGCTTGCTAATGTTAAGCGAGGATGGACCTCCATGACGAGACAAGAGTCGGCCACACAAATGCGATGGTTCCTCGAGGATTTTGCTAACAGCTCTTCCAACAGAGCAGTGGAAGTAAGTGACGACACTTGGGGGGGAAGTGACACGGTCGGCATGGCAGCTAATTTTTTGCAACGGAAAATTTATATACTGCAGCAATCAGATGGCCCGAAACAGGGGTGGCAGTGCAAAAAATTATACCAACCACGATCACACGCAATCGACGAGTTTTAGAGACAGCTGCGGAATATACACTGTCACTGATGGATTTAATAGACGAAGTCGTGGCAGCCAAGATCGAGAATCCCGGACAACCACCCCTGCTGCTGCATTTCTGGGAACGACATTACTCGGCGCTTCTCCATACTGGTCGCACCAGACAGCTCCCAGACTTTGCGGAGGAAGTGGAATGTAAGACTCCGGTTTCGACTGAGGACCTTCCTGCGGTAACGCACGCAAACTCGAGTAAGCCACACCTAGCGCTGAGGACGGCACCGGTGGATGCTCCGATGGAAGATCCATGGGACCCAGATTCTTGGAATGGTACACCAGACGCGGCTTGGGCCGCGTTACAGGGATGCTCGGTGCACCCCGATTTACACCACGATCTCCACGTGCTCTTTAGAATTGACGAGCCAACGCGGTCTCGGGACCTCATTAAAGGGGTAGTAACGGCAGCGATGACAATGGCACTGCCGGCTCAGCAACAGTTTGCAGCGGTATTAAGGGGGGCGGAAGGCGAGGAGGCCGAACTCGCTCTAACTCAGCGCATGCAGATTACGAAAGAAAGGTTGAGGCTTTGGCAATGCCAGCTTCAAGCGGCGGGCCACATGGCTCTTAACCTCGACCGTCGCTGTTTTCCTCCGGCCAGGGAAATCGCAGGTTTACTGACAAATGGCAACGGTCCTCATGATATGTCGAACACAAGCCGCACCTCAGTAGGGGAGTGTCAAGCTCTGGTACAGCACCAACCTACAGTGGGTCAAGATTTCAGTTCACTGGGCGTGCACGAGGTTTTACCAGCACTCCCCACCACGCCTCCGGCGGGGGTACGAGACACTTCAGATGGTGCTCGAAAAAGAGGCCATTTAGCCTCCCCAGACGAACGGATAGTAACTGGAACTGTGGTGCGACACCAGCACAATGATGCTATTTTAAAAAAAAGACGACACGACACAATTACGTCGCAGATCACAAATGTGGACGCCTCTGAGCGCATAGATAGAGATGATTGGGCAGCTACGTGGGAGACACTATCTCAGGGGTGGTCACATCCCGCCCACATCCCTTTCCCGACAGCTCAAAGCTCTACGATAGAGTGGCAGA